CTCTACCCAAAACTCCAAGCAGACCAGTTGGGTCAAGTCCCTTAATAGGAACAATGTTACAGTATATTACAAGGTAAGTAGCGGTTATAACCCTTAGGATTATTGGTTAATAGCTAAGTATCATATGAATTTTGTATAACCACTAACTCCTTTACCAAGGCGAACTCCCTCCATATGATCATGCTCATGAGAAAATATATTTCAAAAGCTCGTATATATAATTCACAATTATCCCACATGCTCATCAACTTTCTTGCTTAACAAACATCAAGAATCATCATATTTCAATCATACCTCTTACATCAATTTTTATATTATCATATAAAACCACATTAGCGTAATATAAAACTCAACATGCTCATATACAATTCATCACTATGCATAATCTATAATTTATAATCAAGGATGTACATATCATAATCAACCATCAATTTCATTACTCACACCAAGTTACAATTAACTTGGTCACAAATCATAAAGTCTCAATCAAGCCACATGTATTACAAACAACCATTTCAAAATTTATATTTATATATATATATATATATATTCTTTTGTTTCACCAACATAATTAATTAAGTAACATATAAATGCATAAAATAGATTTTTCTCGGTTACCTCAACCTTTGAGAGGTCAAAGGTTACCCCTCAAGTTACAACACTTTTAAAATTTTTCAAAGGTTAAATGGTGTCAAAAGAAAATTAATCTACAATTGATCATATCTCAATGTGTCAATAATATTATTAACATAATTTTACTCATACTCTAACACCTAAGTATTTATTTTATTTTATTTCATTTTTTTAAGACCTAAGTCTTAGCCTCTTGAGTTTTAAAATTTAATTTCATGTATTTGAATCTATCTACTTGGTTCAATAGTCTCCTTCACAATAATTTCATTCAAATAATTTTCTAATATCAAAATTTTCCTTTTTATTCCAAAAATTTGCACATAAAAATATTTAAAAATTGCAAACTTGATTTCAAGCCTAGAATCATTATTCTATAGCCATAATAATTTATTTCTCATCTCAAATAATTATCTAAATATTAACAAATCAATTTATATTTTCAAATTTAACCAAAAATCTACCCATAGAGATATAAGGATAAACTCAAATGCCTCAAATTTCAATTCTATTAATAAAATAATACTCTATAATATTTATTATACTACCAACAACCTTAACAACCAGATTTACTCATCAAAAATTCATCCCTCTTTCAAACCCTAGATTTTTTAAAATCTTAAAATCTGTAGTTTAAAGGGAAAAACGACTAAGAAAAAATATTTAAAATACTTATCTAGTCTTAGAATACTTAAAATCTCATCTGAAGTATCCTATTATGAAGCATCACCTTCTAAATCAGCTCCCATTAACGACACGCACTTGCTCTATATCCATTTTCTTTGTCATGCGCGAAGAGAAATGAGGAAAGGAAAGAGAAAATGAAATCAGAAGGGTGATTATGTTGTTTTGAATAAAAAGAAGGTGTGGGTCCGATATAATAATTCACACCCTACTTTCTCTTCTTTGCTTTCTTTAATGCACACACGTGAACAAAATTCATCTGCCTCCCTTTTCTCATTTTTTTTATTTAACGTTCCTTCCTTCTTCTTCTTTCTTTCTTCTTTTTTTAATATTATCATTACTATTTCTATTTAATATAAAATCATAACTTAGGATTTTAATCTAAATTAAATTCAATAATAATCTTCTAACTAAAATTATTTATATCCAAATATTCCTTCAAAATTATTCATTTGTTCTAAATTAACTTAATTAACCTTAAGTTAATTTTTAGAATGTTACATCTTGTCGCTATTTTCTTCTCCGTTCACAAAGATCACCAGCGCCAGTATCTGTAGCTATTTCGTCCACCACTACTTTGTCAAGTTGGTGCCTTCTTTGTCTGCCCTCCATGCTTGCCGAGGACTTGCTATTGTTAAGTTCCAAGTCATGAGTTTGTTTTCCATTTTTGATGTTGATTCTTTCCATTCTTTATTTGTGGTATAGCGTGGGTGGTAGACATTTCTCTTATTCTCCTTCTCTACCCCTACCATTATTGTTTGAGGTGTGAAGCTTCAAGCTCATCTTCTTGATAATCCTATAGGCATTATATGTGATTTATGAGTTTAAGTTGTAAGTTTTTCTCTCGTGCCGCTACTGTCTGTAGCTATGTAGGTAAGGAGAAGTTGAATTAAAGATGAAAATTTGTATTGAAAACATGATGATATGAATGTGACTAAGATTTTGACTTAATTTATTTTCTTCCAAATTGGTTGATGTTAGAGAGAATGGCTGGAATGAGATTTGGATAAAAGAGTCTAGACTTATGATTTAAAGATTTGTACTATAACATGTTTGAGGAAATGTTTGCTACAAGAAGTTGCTTGATTTTGAATTTTTAGAAATTCATTAAATCTCTTAAGAGACATAATTGACTTTGATGCTACTATTTTGTGAATTACGCTTGCCATTGTGTTGAAATTGGTGTGTGAAACCTGTTGTAAACTATTTGAATTCTTGAAAATTGTATGATTATTGATAAATTATTAGGTGGAGATGGAGGTTAGAAAATTTACATCAAATGGTTGAAAATAATATGCTAAAGGTGTTCGACTCAAAGCCCAAGAGGGAATTATATCTCAAGTGAATAGGTTGGCATGTCTAAAGAAATATGATAAAAATTAGTGATATACATGATAATACTTGCACAAATTCTAAAGCATGAATTTTGGTCTTGGCACTTTAAATGATGGTAGTTGATTGAGATTGTGTTGAGAATGGAAAGAAGTCTTTGTAATTTATAGAAAATTTATTAAAATTTCATTTGTTCATATCTTTATAGGATGTATGAAAGAAAAAAGCCTTGATATGAATTGAAGGAACAAAATATTTAAAAGTTGGAAATTCAACAGGTAAGTGAAAAGCATTCCATTTAATTTATTTTAATAGTATTTTACTCAAACATTTTACTCTTGTGAATTATATTAGTTTTGGAAATGATAGAATATTGATGAAGAATAGTTAAATTATGATATGTGCATTTATTTTTCCTCAAGAAATATATTTTCAAAATTGATAAAAGTATTTTTGTTTATTAAACTTTGGAATTCTTGGTTACTCAATTAATGCAAGCCTGTACATTAGCTATGAATTATTATTTTGGCAAATTTTGAGATTTGAAACAATTCATGCAAGTTTAGTATTGAGAATGAAAATTTTATTGCAGAAATAATTATTTTTCTCGCATGTTTGAAATATGATTTTCAAGAGGACTCTAAATTAAACACCGCTGCTGACGACAGTTCTATTAGCCTGTAACATGCTATGGTTAATAACTAGCTAATTTGTTTAGTGGGCTTTGTTCTCCCGTTTGTTATTCGTGGCCTTTGTACCCTCATTTAATTTTGTGGCTTTAAATCACGTTTGGTTAACATTACCCTAGCGGACTATGTATCCATACTTGTTTTGTGGCTTTAGCTGTATTTGGTTACTTAACCTTGTAAACTATGTATCCACATTTATTTTTGTGACATAAGCTGCGTTTGGTTATTTACTCTTGTGCGTTTGGTTATTTACTCTTGTGGACTGTGTGTCCATGCTTGTTGTCTGTTCTGTTAAGTCTTTAAAATTTTTAAATTTTAATTGACTCGTTCATTTAAAATTTCAATAGTTTCAATTACCAAGTGTAGTATTTTGATTTATGTGTGAGTAATTTATTTTCTTTAAGCCTGATAGAATGAAGTGCTTACAATTCACTCTCATTTTATTGTTATGATTATGATTTATAGATTTTTTAAGTTATTATGTTAAATTATTATCTTTTCAATTATTTTATATGATTATTTGAGTTTAGTATTTTAATTCTTTTAAATTCTATTTTGGGGATGCCATTCACCGAAAAATATTTTGGTCTCAAATTTATTAACTTATGTTGAATCTTCTGTGAATCATTGAAGAGTTTATCATTAATTAAGAATTGGAGGAATTGTAGATTAAATTCTAGAAGCTCCACATAGGTTATAGCTATGGTCCTTATTTCAATATATATTCTACCTGTTGGTTGGAATGAGCTAAGGTCTTAGTTGTTATGATATTTATTTGAGAATTTGTGTTGTAGAACTTCAGGAGATCTTACGTGTACGGGAGATTTTTCTAGAATTTTTATAAAAATATTAAGGTTTTATTTTAAATGAAAAAAATATTATTTAGAAGAAGAAGAAGATTTCTTGAATTAGTCTTAAGGGAGGTGTGTTTAGAGGCATATCCTACATTGATCATTCCCATGTTTTGGGGCATGACATATTAACTGCATTACCATAGAGATGTCATCGAGGAGATATAGCTAATGCTCAAACGTGATTGTGAAGTCTAGGTGCAAGATTTGTGTAGAGACAAAAATCATGTTGCGGATCACCTCGCCAAATAAGCTCTGAATGGATGACCTGATCTTTTTAGATTTCATTTTGCTTCTTTGGCTGTTACTAGACTTATGACTTTGGATATTAATAATTTACTCAGCACTTAGGCTGAGTCCTCTTTCTTTATCAAAAAATAAAAAAAACAAAGAAAAAGAAATCAAACTGGCCTTTATTTTATCATTTTAAAAATATAAATTTTTAATGCTTAAGGCTTTAATTTAAAAAATTAAGAAATGTAATTATTGTGTTAAAATAGTAACCGCATTATATAACTTGTCCATAATTAATATATTAAATAAATTAAAGTTATTAGAGTAAATAAGAATGTAATAAAAAATATTAACAAATACTATTTTAAAGTTTTAAAAACATAAATGAAAAAAAAATTGTCAAAACAAAAACTTAAATTTTAAAATGAAAAGAGGGCTTATTAAAATTTAAAAAATTAAAAGATAAAATTATACTAAAATATTTAAAAAAATCTTATATTTTAAACTTTTATTTAGAATAATTACATTCAGTCATTCACATGACATTTTTAGAAGAAATTAAAAAGAGAGAGAGAGAGAGAGAGAGAGAGAGAGAGAGAGAGAGAGAGAGAGAGAGAGAGGATTTACATGGGGCTTCTATCCTCTCCTCCGACTCTTCTTCTTCCTCAACCTCTCCTCTTCACCATCTTCTTTCTGCCTTAATCAGACGAGAGGTTGTGGACGGCTACTTAATCTTTTCTCCATCTTTTCTTACATGGAAGATGAATCTTTTCTTTCATGGCAAACAAGTACCCAATGTCAACCCACCATCGAGCGTCGAGTTCCTGATTTATCCTTTTCTAGGTTCTCAATGGAGAGGAATCAAGGGTTTTTTTTTTCTTAGAGGGTTGTCTCTCGAAAGGTCAAGGGCTAAGAGCCTAAGAGTCCAGTGTGGTATGCTCTCCGATGTTGAGTTTACTTCAGCATAGGGATAAGCACCATGCCCTGCCACGTGAGCTGTTGGTTACGAGATTGGAAAGCTTGAGGCCGGCAAAAGCATTGTCCGCCATTAAGAGGTTCGATCTGAGATTGTTGCTTGGCGTCTTTCAGTTTTATTTACTCCAGAAATTTGAGCTTCCTTGATTGTTCTCGATGATGATTGAGTTTTGATTTCACGGTGATCTTTTTTTTCTTCTTTGTTTTTTGTCTGGTTTTTGCTTCAACAGGGTCTTGTGATCTAGGTTATGCTTGGACATTGCTGTGATTGGCTTTGACTATCTGAGTTTTGCTTCAACAGGTCCTGTGATCCTGTATGACTTGATGAACATTGAGGAACTATGGCTCACTTCGTGTAACTTTATGGGCTCAATTGCGGCATCGTTGGGTCGTTTCACTAGGCTCTAGAACTTGGACTTGTCCATGAACAAACTCAATGGGTCTATTTCAGAATCAATTGTGGGGATGAAGAACCTCGTTCAACTTGAGCTTTATTAGAACTTACTCTTTGGCAAGTTACGTATCGGAATGTTGAAGAATCTGAGACGCTTCGATGTGTCCATATGTTTTGTATTTTTTGTATTTTGTTTTCATGCACGATTGCGTTTCAACCTCTTACACTCATCACATAAGCCATCAGCGAGATCTCATTCTTCGCCCTTCAGTTGTATCCATTCAACCGCTTTAAGAGTTGAGATGAGGCATTTTCCCTTGATCCGTAAATGTTGTTCCAGAGTTTGAGTTCTCCTGCATTCGTGGGTTCCACTGTTAAATTTTTTCATGTTTCGTGAATTGACCAATGAAGTTTTGATCTTTTGGTTTGAGTGGATTTGCTACGATCGTGGGAGAAATTATTTATGGTCAAAATTTTGCATATGAGCTTGTTCACTACTGTGGAGTTTTTGTTAGATTTGCTTTTTGTCGGACCTGAGTTAGAGAGAGAAAGGGAAGGAGGTGGGGAGAGAGGATATGCTGGAGTTTTTTTTTTTTTTTTTTTTGCAAATAAAAGTTGAAGTAATGGTCAGACTAACTGTTGGATGAATGAACTGATTTCTTATTTTAAAATTTTGGGGCAAAATTATTCTAAATAAAAATTCAAGAATGCTAAACACTCCACAAGACAAAATTTCTGTACATTTTTTACATGTTTGGCTCATGGAGAAAAATAAGGAGAGGAAATAAAGAGAAGGAAAAAGTACAGAAATGTAATTTTTTTTCTCATTATGCTTAGTTGAGTAAGAAAAAATAGAGGAAGAAAAAAGTTATTAATTTTATAAGAATAATAATAATTTTATTATTTATAAAAATATTTATATAATAAAATTTAAGATTTTAACATATTATATATATAAGAATAATTTTATCATATATTATTGACTGAACAAAAGCATAATTAAAAATTATTTTATTCAATGTTGGTAAAAAATATTTTATCCAATTACAAAGTGTATTTATTAAATTATTAATAATTTAATAAATATAAAATATTTAATTGAAAATTTAGAATTAGTATTTGTCTAATTTGTTTAAAAATTAAATATATTTCTTGTTTAATAAAAATTTATAATCAAAATGTAATTATACTACAAATATCATAATAAAAATAGAGAAAAATAAGAGGTAGCAACAAAAAAATAAATTGGTAAATTTAAAAATAATTTTTTTTTCAAAAATCTCTCCATATTTTAAAAAAATTAAAGATAAAAACATGTAATTTCACAAGCTATTTTCTTTTTACTTTTCTTTTTTCTTCACTTTTCATCTTGTAGTGAAATAGGATAAAATGTTATTTTTTTCTTTTCAACTTTTTCTTCCTTCTATTATTTTTTCTTGTCAAACATAACATTAACTCAAATTAGTCTTCAATCCCATGCATTGCACGGGTGCTACCTATGTAAATTACTTATTTAAAATAGATCAATTAATGACCATCAGGATGTTTCCACCCCTAAACTCCTCTCAACTACATCTTATCCATAGAGATGTTATTGAAGAATAAATAAAAAATGTTGCTTTTGATATTAGAGCTTTTAAGGTTCCCGGTCTTGGTGGTATTTATGCTAGCTTCATTTAATGTAACTGAAATAATCTCAAAGATAGCATTATACAATTGGTTATGAAGATTTTTAATGATCCCTCTAGTTTTAGAGAGATTAATGACACATTCATAACCCTCATCCTTAAGAATTAGAGCCAAAAAAACGGGTTGAGCCCGCGGGCTTGCCCATTTAACCCATCCAATTTGATGGGTTGGGTTGAAAAAATTGGCCCGTTTTTTAAAACAGGCTGGGTTAGCCTAACCCGCAAAAACTGCGGGCTAAACGGGCTAGCTCACGGGCTGGCATATTTTTTAAAAAATAATTTTTAATTTTTTAATTATATTATATCTTTTTATAAATCTACAATAATAATAACATCTCTTAAATATATAATTTATGACTTTCAAATATAGTCTTTATATTTGAAATATGGTGTAAATTCTTTTTATACAAATAAAATTTTTGTTATAGTTTATGAAGATGATTTATTAGTTTTTATAGAAATGTTTTGAATATATATTATTTATTAATCTTATAAGATCTATTAATTAAAATTATAAATATGAATTCACTGAGAAAAATAATATGGGTTTATATTTCAATTTTCTTTCTTAGTGACAAAGATAACACACTTAGGTGAGAAGATGATTAATAGTAAAAATCTAGCAAAATGAATTTTTGGTTGAATTCTATGTTTATTTTATTTATTTACAAGTTTTTTAATTGCTAATTTGCTTTAAAATATGAAATAAATATATATTTATATTGTATAAATTTTAAATTATTAAAAAAATTTGATAATTTTTTGCGGGCTAGCCTACGGGTTGACTAGCCCGCTAGAAAATGGGTTGGGTTGAATTTTTCAACCTATTTTATCTAGTAGGTTGGCCCAACCCAACCTGTAAAACTGCCAGCCTGCCCGGGCTAGCCCGTGGGGTGGCCTGCAACCCGTTTGCCCAGTACTATTAAGAATGATAAGCCAAATTCTATGAAGGATTTTCGTCTGATATCTCTATGCAACGTTAGCTATAAGATAATTACTAAATTTCTCTCTAACAGGGTAAGACAATGTATGAATCATTTAATTAGGGATAGTCAATGTAGCTTCCTTCAAGGAAGACAAAGCAGTGATAATATCATCATTGCATAAGAAATCATTCACTTTATGAGAAAAAAAGTTAGGAGAAAGGGCTTCTTGGCTCTCAAAATTGATCTAGAAAAAGTTTTTGACAGACTCTCTTAGGATTTTATTGATGATACTCTTCATATTATCGAACTGAATGAGAATTTTATAAAACTCAATATGGTAGCTATCACCACCACTCGTATGAAAGTTTTTTGGAATGGTGAACCAACTAATGAATTCACCCCGACACGTGAAATTAGATAGGGACATCCTCTTTCGCCTTATCTTTTTGTTCTTTGTATCGAAAGACTGAGTCATAGCATACTTAGTAGCATTAATAAAAGAGATTGAAAACCCATTAGCTTAACTATTAATGGCCCTCCTATCTCTCATTTATTTTTTGCTGATGACTTATTTCTTTTTGTAAAGGGGTCCTTTTAACTTGGCGAGGATTATCCAAAAATGCCTTGATAACTTCTGCAAAGCTTCAGGACAAAAAGTCAACAATTTCAAATCCAAGCTTTACCGCTCTAAGAATGTTAATATCAATAGAGTCATTCAGATCAGTGAAGAATTAGGCATCCCATTAACAGGAAACCTTTAAAAATATTTAGGGATTCCTATTATATATGAAAGAGTTTTTAAGCTAACCTTCGCTCCCCTTCTTGACAGAATCAATTCTCAACTTTCTAATTGAAAAAGTCGCTATCACAATATTGCTGGGAAAGCTGTTCTCATAAAATCGGTTCTATCCTCTATTCCTAGTTATTCTATGTAGACTATGCTCTTGCCTGATAATATCTTAACTAATATGGAAACCTACTCTCGTAACTTCCTTTGGGATTCAACTGATGGCTCCAAGAAACCACACCTCTTGTCCTGGGATCATATCACCAAGGATACTAATTATGGTGGCCTTAGCTTAAAAAAATTAAAAAGCCAAAACATGGCATATATTATGAAGCTTTATTGGGGCATCATTATGAAGCCTAATTGTCTTTGGGTTCAAGTTCTACGTGATAAGTATGAATGTCAATACCCTACCATTCTTATGATTTACAAAACCAAGTCTTGTTCCTAAACTTAGTCTAGTATATGTAGAGTTTGGGATAATTTCACAACCCTAGTGGGCTGGAAGGTAGGAAAAGGGGATCGAATATCTTTTTGGTTTGACAAATAATGTCCTCTTTTGGAACCACTTGTAAATTATGCCTTACCTAAGGCTGACTCTATTTTACATGCAAAGGTTTCTGACTTCTACTCTGAGTTTGATAGATGGAAGATTGAACGATTACGTAGATACCTACACCGAGATGTTATAATCATATTACCATCGTTCAACCTCCTAAACCCAATGCTGATGATGATACTTTATGTTGGAGGCCTTCTAACGATGGTAACTTTACCATTAAATCTGCATATAAGGCTATTGAACATCTTTGCGATAATAAAAGCTCCAAGATATGGTCAAAGAACTAAAAATGGCCGACTTATGAGAAAATCAAATCCTTACTTTGAAAAGCAGATTGGGATTGACTCCAACCCAAATTCTCGTGTTCTAATGAAGGCAATCCTTGCATCAGAATATACCTCTTTGGTTTAGATTCTGCTATTCATATTTTAAGAGATTATAAAAAATCTAAAGAGGTTTGGACAAAAATAGTTAGTCATTCTAAACTTAACACCTTTTTTTTTTCTCTTCCTTTATAGGATTAGATAATTTAGAATGCGAGGAATGATGCAAGCGACGCTTGTGCAAGGAAAACCTCTTGGCAGAAACTTTTATGCCCACGTGTGTTGGAACATTTGAAAAGAAAGGTGCAAAATCTTACATTTAGAAAAAGACACGCGTGACAAAGACATTGCTTTTACCAACATTCAAGATGTTCTTAGATATCAATATCTTCAAAATAAAATTAACTTCCTTACTTAAAAGGGTGATAGAGCAACAGCTAGATGGATTATTCCTGAAGAAGGTTGGATTAGATTGGATACTTATGACTCCATCAACATTCACGATACAGCTAAATGCGGGGTCTTATCCGAAGCAACCAAGGAAACTGGATTAAAAGTTACTCCAGATACCTAGATTATTACCCAAGTATAGCTGCCAAACTTATGAGCATCTTGGAAAGTTTAAACATTTGATGGGCGGAGAAGTTCAAGAAAGTTAATGTTTATACTAACTCTATGAAAGCTCTCTCACTAATTCACAATGAGTTCTCTACTACCCACCCACTTGCTGCTATCATTAATAGAATTAAAGATCTCACTATGTGAAGTTGGACAATCATATTCGACCACACTTTTAAGGAAGTAAATAAATGTATCGATTGATTATCTTATCAAGCTTACACTGATAATTTATGTTTTCATATTTTTGATATCTCGTCCCCTGGTCGTTGTAATCTCTCTCCCTCTTATTTGTTTGGCTTTGCTATAATATTTGTATTTGTAGCAATCCTGTTATTTCCCAAAATATTTTAATTTAATATTTTAGATTTTTCATTTTCATTTATTTTGGTCTTCAGTACTCTTGCCACTGTCCGTCCTCTGAGAGAGCTCCTAGTCTCCCACCCCTCGAGTATTGTGCAAATTTCGAAGGTCGCCATTAGCAGAGAGCTTAAAGGGCAATCTCGCCGCTCCACCGCAAAGAGAGGCTTCTTCCTCTGCAGCACCAACAACATCGACGCTGCGGCTGCAGTTTATTCGGTGGCTTCGCCAGTGTTGTTTTCCCGGCGTCTCCGTTAATAGTTCTTTAGTTTATTTGCCGGTTAGTTTGCGAAAAAACATTGCTTTTCCCTGTTTAGGCCTTACTCATTAGTAAAGGATAAACTGAGAAAAGGGACTAGGTTTTTTTTTTTTTTTTGGTTCTTTATTATTGGTCGGAGCCAGTATGAGAGAATGTCAAGTAATCATACTTTTATTTTAATCGCATTGTGTGATTGTCTTTTTACCTCGGGTATGCTACCGGATTCGAGGTCTTTATGGAATGGTGCATTAAGATTTTCTTGGCCCATTTTTGCAGGTCACATAACTACTTTTGTCCGATCTGCTGTGGCTAGAAGAACTAGTTTTGGTTGGGGATAAATTTTTAAGGGAAAGGATTTTGGCAGACAGTGTAGAAAGGAGTCATGGGTGTCGATGTTAGTTCTAGTAAGGGTAGCGGGAAGCATTCCAGGGCGGTTGATAATATGGAGGAGGACGATCAAGGCTTGTCAAATGTAAGCGAGCTGGGGAAAGAAAACCTCCAAAGTTTGTGTAAGAAGGCTACAATGTTATTCTTTGATGAGTACGGGCTGATCAGTCACCAGATCAACTCCTACAACGAGTTCATCAGCCATGGCCTGCAGCATGTTTTTGATTCATTTGGGGAGCTAAATGTTGACCCTGGGTTTGATCCCTCAAAGAAGGGTGATAAAGACTGGCGATATGCTTCAGTGAGGTTTGGGAAAGTTACCCTTGATCAGCCCACATTCTGGGGTGGTGAAGGAAATGTGAAAGAGTTCAAGATGCTTCCTAGGCATGCCCGCTTGCAGAGGATGACGTATTCATCGAAAATTAAAGTGGAGGTTCATGTTCAGGTAATTATAACTGAAATGTTTTGCCAAAAAGTAATTACTTTTGCATTTGGTTCCTTGCCAATGTTCTATCGGTGAGCTTTTGCTCAACTTATGTTGAGGTTTGAGGGATATCCTGGTAACTGGTTATTCGTTGATGATGAAAAAAATGTTGCTCTTCGGAATAAAATTGTTCATGAAATCAGGAGAGAATCATTTTCTTCTTCTTATCGTTTTTCCCTTTTTGGTCTTCGATTCAAATAGCTGTTTAAGCGATTGCTTTTCGTTCAATTTGATTTGCTAAACTTTAATGAGGAAGCCTTTGTGATTCTCTAGAGCTGAGTGAATGATTTGATGAATTATGCTTGTATGCCATGTCTCTCCGGATGGGCAATTTTTTGGTGCATGTTCTGATAGTTTTGAAAAGTATATACCAATATATTTTGTGTTCGTATCAATTTTAGATATATATCCAAAAACTGGTTAGAAGCGACAAATTTAAGACTGGGAAAGAACAGTACGTTGATAAAGAGTCTGTCATGGAGGACAGCAGGGAAATAACTGTTGGGCGATTGCCTGTCATGGTGAAGTCTGATATATGCTGGATGAAAGGAGCTGACAAAGGGGATTGTGATTATGATCTTGGAGGCTACTTTCTGATCAAGGGTGCGGAGAAGGTTAGCTGAATTCATCATGTAAATTTTAGTCCTGTTTTCAATTGTTTATGCTAATAAATTCATGGGAAGAAATTCAATTCCTTCTTTTAGAATAAGATTTTACTTGTGGTATGGTGAAGAGAGAGAGTTTCATATTGAGTTCTGCATTAATGCATTTTGAGACGGTCCTTTGTAGTAAGTTTCTACAATTGTTGGTGCTTTGCAGTAATAATTAGCTCCCATTCATCCATTCCCATGGCAGAATTTATGTGGCTTCCTTTTACAGTTTCGTTATCCATTATTTTTTTTTTTTTTAGTCTTTAATATTTCATTCCTATAACTTTCTTTGTTACTGCTTTAGCACGTATTTTATATAAATTTGTTGCAGACATTTATTGCACAAGAGCAAATCTATCCAAAGAGGCTTTGGATTATAAACAATCCATGGGCAGTTTCATACAAGTCACTGACGAAGAGGAATAGGCTAGTTATCAAGCTGGTAGGGAATCCCCGAAGTGAAGATATTAAAGGTGGAGAGAAGGTGCTTACAGTATATTTTTTGTCAGTTGAGATTCCTGTATGGATACTATTTTTTGCCTTTGGTGTCTCATCAGACAAAGAGGTCATAGAGCTCATTGATTATGGTCATGATGAAGCTGATATTCAAAATATTCTCTTTGCATCCATTCGTGATGCTGATGACAGTTGTGAAGGCTTTCGGCGAGAGAATGTAGCCTGTAGTCACATAGAAGGACTAGTAAAACGCAGCCAATTTCCACCTACAGGATCTATTGAAGAGTGTCTGACTACATATGCTTTTCCCAATGCTAGAGGCATGAATAGAAAGGCACGCTTCCTTGCATATATGGTCAAGTGTCTATTGCTCGCATATAGTGGCCGTCGAAAATGTGATAACAGGGATGATTTCAGAAACAAGCGGCTTGACTTGGCTGGTGAATTGCTTGACCGGGAGCTGAGAGTGCATATTTCTCATGCTCGGAAGCGTTTGGCAAAAGTTTTGCAAAGAGACCTTTATGGGGATCGTGATATTCGTCCAATTGAGCACTATCTTGATGCATCCATAATTACAAATGGTCTTCAAAGGGCATTCTCAACTGGAGCGTGGTCACATCCTTATAAAAGGACTGAAAGGATATCTGGTGTGGTAGCAAATCTTGGGCGAACAAATCCATTGCAGACCATGGCTGAAATGAGAAGAACCAGGCAGCAGGTTCAGTACACTGGAAAGGTTGGAGATGCTAGATACCCGTAAGTTACTTTAAACTTGGTTTGTTTCCTTGTTTTTTCCCCCCTTACTCTGGGGAAGTGCACAGTGGGTGGGGCACTGTGGCAATGTTTGATAATTTTGATCCTCTTTGATTGAATGGTTATTCTGTGGCTGTTTGGTGTTTGTTTGCGTCAGTCACCAACGGCTGTGGTCATGCTGAAATATTAGAGTTAGATTTGTATCCTGTGTTTTTATATTTCTATCTCTCTTATCCTCACTTGTTGGAAATGAAACTTGCAAAATATGCTTTGAGCTTAGAAGAAAGGTTTGGATAAAGACTCATTAGATTTTTGTTAGAAAATTAAGGTTTGGGAAGGCCTGTGAATGAAGTCCTAAACCTGTTAGGATTAAGATGTCTACTAAATGCATGAGGAAGTCTGAGACATTAAATGACACTTTATAACCGCTAATTTCCTAAACCCATTCTCAAACACAGCAAATGATTGGGACTATAAAAATTACTGTACTCTTATCTTTATAATTGTGATTACTTGGTTTAACACTTGCAAGTGCTGCGTGTGTTACATTCTGGATATTGAGCTTCATGTTGACAATTGAAACTATCTTCCAAACTCCAATTTTTGCTGCATTATTATTAGCTTTTGATTAAATGGATCCAGTACAAGTTAATTCAAACTTGAGAAATATTAAAAATTCAAATGTCTCCTTCATTAAACTTGAGTTTAGGCCATGATTTCATTTGCTTTACAGAATGCATAGGCTATTATTTGGAAGTGATTTATTCTTATTAGTGGCTTTGGCTGTCTACTGACCCAGTTGAATGTATTTTTGTGGGTCCTGCGTTTTTATCTTTGAATTATTTAATTAGTGTCTTAAACATTCAATAAATATATCGTTTTGTGCATTTCATAAGATAAAACTATTGCTTTGATTTTATATTAATTGACTATTGTGACCACAGGCATCCTTCCCACTGGGGTAAGGTGTGTTTCCTCTCCACCCCAGATGGTGAAAATTGTGGACTTGTAAAAAATTTAGCTGTTACTGGACTAGTTAGTTCAAAAACAACTGAAAATATACTACCTCAGCTATTTGATTGTGGGATGGAAGAGCTGGTTGATGATACCTCTACTAAACTGGGTGGAAAGCACAAAATCTTCCTAAATGGGGATTGGGTTGGAGTGTGTGCAGACTCCTCTTCATTTGTGGTAGAGCTACGAAATAAACGACGTGGAAATGAATTGCCTCCTCAGGTTAGCTTTTAACCTGTCATTTTATGTTGGTTTTCTATGCTATGCAAGCCACAGGTTATTTATTTACTCTTTCTAGAGAACTTTGTACTGTATGTTAGTAAGTATGGTGATTATATTATTGTATGCTTTGTTTGAGCACCATACTGTGGTTACATTGGGTTAGACACCTCACTTGGTGTGCATATGATTGGATTATTTAATGCTTGGATGATCTTTTTTTTTAATAAATTGTTGCTCTGATGTTATTGAAGAGCTTCATAGTATATCAGTGATGCTATTATTGTTCCTTTCTGGGTTTGTCATAACTTTGTTCAGCACGTTATTTTATCCTCTTTCTCTGTGATTTTTCTGTTCTTAGATAAGTATTCTTGTTTTAATACAGATAATGAAGTTATTTGCAATATGTTTGTTTGGTTCAGTTTATTTCCTTCTGAAATTAGTGATTGACATTTTCCTTTTAGGTGGAAATAAAAAGGGATCAACTTCAACAAGAAGTGCGGATATACTCTGATGGCGGAAGGATTTTGCGTCCTCTTTTGGTAGTTGATAATTTAGGCAAGATTAAAAGGTCTGAATGGGATCAATCTTCTTTCCAGTCTCTTCTGAATGAAGGAGTAGTTGAGCTTATTGGGACAGAAGAAGAAGAGGACTGCTTTACTGCTTGGGGTGTTCAGCATTTATTTGCAGACGAAGCTAACAGTTCTATGAAGTACACACACTGTGAACTTGATATGTCATTCTTACTGGGTTTAAGCTGTTCTCTTGTACCGTTTGCTAATCATGATCATGCACGGAGGGTGCTCTACCAGTCTCAGAAGCACTCATCACAAGCTATTGGTTTTTCTACAACAAACCCGAGTATCAGAGTTGATACTTTGTCCCATCAGTTGCACTATCCCCAAAGGCCCCTTTTCCATACAATGACTTCTGACTGTCTTGGAAAACCAGAATATCCTCCTAGCCATCTAGTATTTCCAAAGCCTGAATTTTATAACGGGCAGAATGCGATTGTGGCTGTGAATGTGCATCTGGGATACAACCAAGAGGATTCCTTGGTGATGAATGCTGCTTCTTTGCAGCGTGGTATGTTTAGATCTGAGCACATCAGGAGTTACAAAGCTGAAATTGACAACAAGGAATCATCAGATAAGAAGCGAAAACCTGAGGACATCATAAATTTTGGAAAGATACAAAGCAAAATTGGTCGTGTTGATAGCCTGGATGATGATGGCTTTCCATATGTTGGGGCAAACTTGCAGAGTGGTGATATTATTATTGGGCGATGTGCAGATTCGGGGGCTGATCATAGTATAAAGCTGAAACACACTGAAAGGGGGTATGTTCAGAAGGTAGTGTTGTCATCAAATGATGAAGGCAAGAATTTTGCTGTGGTTTCTCTGAGACAGGTAAAAATAAATCCATTGTTACTTGAAAAGATGCCAGTCCAGATCGTGCATTCAGTGCATACAATCATGTGTATGGTTGCATAAGATAGTATTCTGAATATGTAGTTTCATATAATGAAACTGACTAGTCTGATAATCACGTTAAAATTTTATTGGTAGAAAATTCCGTCATCTACATTATCATTGCAGGTTCGGAGCCCAGTTCTTGGGGACAAATTCTCTAGTATGCATGGACAAAAGGGTGTCTTGGGATTTCTGGAGTCTCAGGAGAACTTTCCTTTTACAAATCAAGGGATTGTTCCTGATATTGTTATAAACCCACATGCATTTCCCTCACGGCAAACTCCTGGGCAGCTCTTAGAGGCTGCTTTAGGAAAGGGGATTGCTTGTGGTGGTAAATTGAAACATGCCACCCCTTTCTCTGCAGTCTCTGTTGAAGCCATCACCGATCAGCTCCACAGGTACAGTTTCGGAGCATGATACTAAAATTGTTAAATTATAATCATGGCATGTTGAGATTATATGAATGCATAATGTATGGTATATTCTGTAGAGTGACATATATTGTGACTTCTGCTTTGGCTTATTTTTGTGACATTGTGAGCATTCTGCTAATTGTTTGCCAACCATGTCTCTTTCAAACTTTTGAGATGGTCTAGCTTGCCTTTGCTACTGGCTCTATCAAATTTGGGAACTCTTTTTCCTTCTTGCTTATCTTCTCAATTGTAACTTCATGTTTTTGAGTAATGGCAGTGTTGGATTTTCAAGATGGGGAAATGAGAGAGTATACAATGGGAGAACTGGTGAGATGGTCCGTTCGCTTATATTTATGGGTCCTACATTCTACCAGCGACTGCACCACATGTCTGAGGACAAAGTAAAATTCCGGAACACTGGTCCAGTTCACCCGCTAACCCGGCAGCCTGTGGCAGACAGAAAGCGGTTTGGCGGTGTCAAGTTTGGTGAAATGGAGCGTGACTGCCTGATCGCGCATGGTGCATCCGCTAACCTGCATGAACGCCTCTGTACTCTCAGTGACTCCTCTCAGATGCACATTTGCCGGAAGTGCAAAAATGTTGCAAATGTGATTCTGCGCCCAGTGGCTGGCGGCCGTAAAGTAAGGGGTCCCTACTGCCGCTTCTGTGAATCGCTTGATGACATTGTCAAGGTCAGCGTGCCCTATGGAGCCAAATTATTGTGCCAGGAGCTTTTTAGCATGGGCATTAGTCTTAAATTTGAAACCCAACTCTGCTAAAGCCCTTTTCCTACATGTTCCTCGTGTAGCCTATGCCCTATATGCTGCTTTTCGGCCTGACTTTTTTTTCCTGAAATATCAGCTTCTTAAGTTGGAGTAAATATCCACTGTTTAAATCAGGATGATCCTTTGATGCCAGCGTGGACTTGGAGCATACAATTACCTTGTTTGTTCTCAAGTTTAGTGCATCTATCATCCTCGATTTGTTATTACATTTTCTTTTTTAAAAAAGTCCCACATGATTATTTTAATTTGATTGAATCAATAGAGACCAAAAAATGTTGGAGTTGTCAGTGAATCTGACAGTCATGGGTGGGAAAGCAACTGACTCCTGGCCTTAACAAAAATGTGAGGGAGGCAAGAAATTTCCTGGACTAGCCCATGACTTGCACCGCAAAAATACAGTGATGTTTGTGAGACACATTTTGTTGTCAGCCGGCAACAATCACCAATTTTTCACGGTCGTCTGTCCTATAGCAATGGCATATTGAAAAGGGTAAATGACAAATAAATTCTTTTGAAATAAAAAAATGATAATTTCATCCTATAAAATGTGATGATAATAATAGGGTGGTTTTAAGGTAACTTTTTATATGAAATTATTTTAGTATCTCTGTCACTTGTTACTAATTTTAGATGGTCACAAATTTAGTATAAATATTCATAAATTTAGTTTTACTAATGACTCAAATGATTGAAGAAATCATTTTTTTATCGACAATTTTCTTCAATCAATAAAGTTCAACTGATTTTATATAATTCATAAGTTTAGTATAAATATTTACCAATTTAATTTCATCAAGAATTAAAATAATTTAAAAAATCACAACTTTTTAAATTATAGAAAAGCCTTAAAATAATTTCACACAAATTTAATCTAAACAAAAACTCCTTAAGACTTTCACTATTATTATTATATTTCATAAGAGTAAATTGTTATTTTCTTATTTTATAAAGATTTATTTGTCATGTTGCTTATTGAAAAACTAATATTTCTCGTCAACTCCTAGAAGGAATTTTTCCTGTCATTAACGAGGGCCTCAACCCAATTCATAAAAAGATTACGGGGGTAAAAGGCTCCCCAGATTCAGGAGTCTTTCTAAAGACCCCGCGCACTATTCCGCACTCGCCCCAATATCTTCATCCAAAACAAGATTATATCTTAACCTTTCAAATATTGATCTAATGGTTAGAAAAGGAAAGGGGGGAAGGGAAGATGCTGCCCTCCCTTTTAAGTTTTCCTTCACTTCAGTAATTCACAAATTCACAACTTATAATAGTGCAAGATTTTATAAATTTTATATTTTAGAATAGCACACTGGTGACACAAGCTATTTGCAAAATATTATAGGAAACTCTTGTTAAGAAAGCTAATTTCTACTCCCCCCCTTTTCTGAAACTTCACCCCATGGCTGTTGACCTAGAATTTCTACAGTTTCTTAACCCTGCTTGTAGTTAACTCAGCAATAATTGGTTTTTAATTATTACTAATTCATGAAATATTGAAGCCCAAGAAAGGCACCATCAACTGGTTTTTTTAGCTGCAATAATGCACTCACACGAAGATTTTTGCTCCCCCTATTATATTCTCCTAAGCAAGTTAATGGAAAGGTAACAGCAAATTGGATTCAAGACATGTGACGAGTGAAGACCAAAAATTACGGCTGAAGTCGGAATTCATTCAACCTTCCAACAAGAACGGAAGAAAAGGGAAGGACCACTACATTTTTATGCTATTCCAACAAAGATCCCCCCCACCCCCCCCCCCCCAACCCTTTTTTTGAACACTGTTCGTAGAGTTCGAAAGCTTCATAAATAAAGTGACTACCCTTGCCGCTGCTTACGGGTATTGACCATGCTTCACATGTAAGGTTCCCTCAAGGCAGTGGGCAACTCCAGTTCAGACTCAACTTCATTACATGGAGAGAAATAACATTCAACCATGTCCTCTGATACTTCTTTTAAGTTAGGTGGGTCCCACTGCATTATTTTTTTTTTAAGATCAAATATATATATATATATATATTTAAAAAAAAAAAAAGATCCGCCGAATTAATAGAGGCACAGATATTGGGACAAAAAATGAATACCTTGGGTGCAAAATCTTTATCAACCAGTCTTGCTCGAACACCCTACACAGACAACAAGTCAAGTACAAATACGAACAAATGGAAGTGTACTATATGAAGAAAAAACATTGTCATACCTCGAGGAAATCAGAGGAGACCTGCTGAGAAATTCCACGAAGGGATATCCGGTATTCACGCAGAAGACATTTATCAAGAGTTTCAAATCTCCCTTCACGAATCTAAATTTGATCGCAAAAGTTAAAGCATTGATCAACTACAATCTGGGATGGAAATTAATAGTTAATAAGTGTACCGAAGGAGATGCTACTCACAGATCTTAAAGTAATTTTCAAACTCAACGGAGAGGCTTCTCTTATCTTTTTAAGTGCTGTTACACACCATTCATCGTAAGACTCCGTGGCTTCCTTCTCCTGAGTGAATATCAGTTCATGTTGAAAATAGTCAAGCACCAAATCAATTGGTCTTTCCCGTCGGATGGTGTAGACAACTAGCAGTATGACAAACTGACTTGTTTAGTGAAAGTGAACCACCTAGTTTCCTCCCATTTTATTTATTTTAGATTTTGGGGAGAGGTTGCCACCAGGGGTGGCCACAAACAAGTTATAACCGCGGAACTCCAAATTTGACCAACTACCAGAAACCTTGTTGCTAAGAATGTGAACTTTCAGGAAAATTGTCGTGCCAGCATAAAAAAATATCAAGGCTGATAGGTATGCAAGGGGGCTATCTGATTCATTGATGAGCCTGCATAGTCTTACAATTTATGTTCATTTATTGTGGGTCAAGGAAATTCAGTTGTGATATTAAATTGTCAATTTCTCTTAGCCTAATTATAAATCATGTATAAATTATTCCACAAGACGCTTACCAGAGCATCAATAATTTCCTCAACTGTATCATGGCTGAAACATCTATCAATTGTATCAATCCTGAGTCAAAAGTAGAATTAGACACTCAGAAGCAGAGAACTCACATAAAGTATAGTATAAGAGAACAAAAATACAAATAGAATAATAGATACACGAAAAGATGCCAGGTTGAAGGAGGGGAAGGTGGGGAGGGGGGTTGATGCAATGAATAATGTGTGAAACTCCAACAGAATGTTCCGGAAATAAGGAAGAGTTAACACAACATTACTTGCGAAGAATACTCCTACTGTCTGGATAAACAAGATCACCATACTGTGCCAGGGATGACTCTACAACAGAAGCATCATCTGTGACGAGTTTACCAAGGCGTTCTTCAAGCCAAGCAAGCCTCTGCCAATGGGAGCTGAGTTACTAAGTAACAGGAAAATTTAACGAAGGAAAGCACAAAATCAAAGTTAAAAACATACAGCATTTAGTGTATAGTGAGTCGCAAGGCCACAAGCAATCATCTCCACACCATTAAGCTTCTCTCCCGTAAGGGCCAGATATTCCCCTGCATAGCATAATATTAATTATAAAAAATTTTGCAACTTATTTTCCAGATTAGTTGAAAATTATCAACAAAAGTGCAACACGATACATACTTGCAGCATGAATATCTACAACTTCACACAAACCTCTACAGTTAATGGTTGTGGAAATATTTAGAAGAATTTCTTATTTAGGAGGAAGCATGTGCCAAATATGGTGCTACGTTCAGGTGCAGTCTAATATGTATTTAAACAATACATCCACCTCTAAGTCTCAAAGAATACTAAAATATCACACAGGAACCATGTTCTTAAATTGCAGGAAAAAGTTAATTACCTAAGTAGCCAGGTAAACGAGAGAGATAAAAGGAAGCCCCTGCATCCGGGTGAAAACCCATTTGAGCCTCTGGGTTAGAAAAAAGCTGCAAAGTTCAAACATTAGATCAATGCTCGTTACTTGAATTTACTGATTCACTTTAGGGGGAAAAAGAGTCTAGACCTAGAATATTGGGAGAAGATCATAACGTAGAAGTAATGAAATTCGAACTACTGTACTCAAATCATAGTGTTTCATACAACTGGTCTAGCACAATGGGTTAAGTTGGCAAGTATCTAAAAAATCACTTACAGTTTTATCAGTTACCACACGAAACATCCCTGGAAGTGAAATTCCAGCACCACATCCCATTGTTACACCATCCAAAATAGCAACCTGCATAAATGCGCGTGTAATTCCTTGCTCAGAAGTCATTTCAAATAGCCAGGCATAAATATTTATTGCAACTTCTCCCACAAAGGCCTCACAGCAAGAAATGGCAAAATCAAGCATAATATAGGAAAAATGTATTTTCCTTCATTTTGATCCAATTAAAAAGTAAGAAGATAGCCACCTCACATTTTCTGTGAGCAACCTTTTGAATTTCAATTAGTAATCCATTTTAACAATAATCAAAGAAATGTAAAATGTGCAGAAATATTTAATGATGGTATCGTTAAGTAATAATTTATACATAGGAAAACACAAAGTTGACTAATTTAAAATCAAGCTAGGAGAGTTATCACCCATTTAAGACCCAAAAATGCTTGAATTTGACATAGTCAATGTACTGGTCAAATAGTTATTACATAGACAACCCTATATCTCAGTCAAAAACATTTGAGATGATGCAATACTTCATGTGCCATATGTATGAGGGTTAAGAAATGGTTCAATACTTACATGGGGCTTAAGATAGGTTCCTTGAAGATATACGTACTTGTATAATGCATTGAAAAATTGTTTTGCTTCTTCAGCATTTCCTGGTCATCATAAGACTTAAAATATCATGAATGTCATCAACCCATCATTAATAATCAATAACTAGTAAGAAACTAACATTGTCATGAATGTAAAAACTACTTCTTGTAAAGAAGTAAATGCAAAACAACATAATTTTGTGAGCTAAACTAGATATTAATTACATATGATAGTCCTACCTTTCAAATAAACCGATTTGATGTGCTATACAAGTGATCCTAATTCTTAAAATATCTGAAATAACATTTTTATTTTTATTCATATAAGGGACCAAGCAATAAAAAAGGTTGAATTTTCCCTCCTACTTTGATTTCTTTGGCGGGACTCAATTTTCAGTGTGAGGCAGGTTAGTATGTTGTCATTCTCAGTTACCTTATTGCAGTATTCCGTATCAAGGATATACTCCAACTGTTGGTACTGTCTTGTTTATGGTTATGATTCCTTAATACCAAAAGGAAATAATGCCATGTAGGGTAAGATTTAATGGAACTAATTAGTGACGTTCAATCACTGAAATTATTTGATTCATTTCATAAAGCCTCCAGTGAGTTAACTTTATGATATAGGGCATTCACTAAATAAGCTACCATGTAGCGAGAAGTTGAAATGTGTAACACAAATACAACAACAACAACAACAACAACAAGCCTTTATCCCACTAGATGGAGTCGCCTACATGGATTGCAAGACATCATTGTGCTCTATTATTTATCAAACTTTTAGGAATATTATTAATTAAGAGATCGCGTTCAACAACTTCCAAGAGTGTTCTCTTAGGCCTTCCTCTGCCCCTCTTAATCGGGCTCAAAATTATATGTTCCACTCTTCTCACCGGTGCCTTCCTTGGTTTTTTTTATACATGTCCAAACCATCTCAACCGATTTTCTATCATTTTTTCTTCAATAGGTGCTACCCTCACTTTTTCGCGTACGTACTCATTTCGAATTTTACCTTTACGTGTATGTCTGCACATCCATCGTAACATTCTCATCTCTGCTACTCCAACTTTATGCTCTTGCTGTCCTGTTAGAGCCCAACATTTACTACTATATAACATTGCCGGTCTGATAGCAGTACGATAAAACTTTCCTTTAAGTTTATTAGGCACCTTACGATCGCAAATAACTTCTTTAGCTTTTCTCCAATTAAACCACCAAGCTTGAATCCTATGTGAAATATCCCCACTGATTTCGCCATCATGTTGAATAATGGCTCCTAAATATCTAAACTTTTCCACTTGAGGTATAATTTGATCTCTCAATTTTACTTCCAAATTACTGTCGACTAGTCTCTTATCAAATTTACAATATAAATATTCCGTCTTACTCCTACTCAGACGGAAACTTTTTGACTCCAATGTCCTCCTCCATAACTCAAGTTTGCAATTAAACTCTTTTCTTGTCTTTGCTATAAGAACTATATCATCAGCGAAGAGCATACATTTGGAAATTTCCCCTTGAATATGTTCTGTCAAAACATTTAAAATCAAGTTGAACAGATAAGGACTCAAAGATGATCCCTGATATAGTCCAATCGTTATAGGAAAATCCTTTGTTATGACATAAATAATTTGGCTGATTTCTAGTATGATTTATGAAATGATGAGATGTCATACAATACTATTTTGACATTACTTGAAACATATTTTGGTATTACTAGCTAATGAAGTGTCCGAAGATGCAATTAAATGATGAACTCATTTAGACAAGATCGAAATACAACATACCTTGACTCAGCAAGTGATAAAGCCTTACAACGTCTCCCCCAGAACAAAAGGCCCTGCCATTAGCCTTCATAAAACTCATGATATCAATTCAATCAAAACATTGATCCATCTTTATGAGAGAAAGGCCATAATCAAAGGCTTCACAGGACAAACCTTGATAAAGCCTACCAATTTAATAATATATATAGCTGTTTCCAACCCACCCTTACCACTAAGATGCAATAATTCATTAATAGGTGTGCTGAAAATATAATGGATAACGACATTTTTTTTTTTATTATTTTAACCATAACTAGGGAGACCTCATGGATGGAAAGCAGAAATTATCCTCCACTTTTTTAGTAGACAGGTAATAAATTTAAATAGTGAAATGCATAATGCTTCCATTCTGTAGTTCTACGCCAAGTTACTATCGTGAAATCAACCAGATACCTTCATTAAAACAAAGCCGATATCAGGACTATCTTCCCATGAAGTATACAATCTCGTCAGTCGAGATACCTACAAATGGAAACAGCCGCTACTTACGATATTTACGAAAGACGTACGAATTGAAATATCGAATGGACGAGTGGCCGGAAGAAACGAAGAAAGGCCTAACCATCGAAGTAGTGAGTGCATTAAGAGCATTTGGCCTGTTAAGAATAGCAGCTCTCGATATAGCTTTTCCTTCAACTAAAATCTAAATGTACAGAAAGAAACAGTAAGTAAAAATAAAATCGACGAATGGGCAGAAATTAATAGGACGCAAATATTAAACGATTTGTACAGGGCATTCCTGGACCTTTTGCCTTCTAAGATATAACCAAATCTTAGGTGATCAACCTGCACACACCTTCAGCTATAAAGCAAGCAAATCACGAAGGAGAATGCGAAAAAATGACCTGGTCTTGGCCGTCATCATGCTCGACATAGTTCGGTTGAGCAGAGAAGGCTCTCCGATGAAAGCTGCGGAATGAGCACCTATTCTCCGGTAGCAGAGCTTTCAATCTCTGCATCTTGTGCTCTCACTCGCTCCGCTTTCGAAAGTTCGCCACCGTTTGAGCTCTGGTGTCTGAAGTGAACGCCGTTACCGCGAGGTCCGAAGTCCATCAAAGGGGTCATGCCGATTTCAAATGGATGGGTAAATTGAATCAGGGGCTGAATCTCTTGTGACGTAGGCTCATCCGACAGAAAGCATATCGGCTCCATAGGCCCAGAGGGGAAAGCCCATGCATTGGATTTGCTCGGCCTCATTTCAATCACATATTCACGTCCATAGACCATTAGCACCTATTTTTTGGACAAAAAGTAAGTCGTTCATATGAAAGGTCACAAAATCAAAATACACCAAATCTACAACTAAGTAGCTGTAACACATATAATAGTAATTTGAGCCTTTTAAGTATGATTTTGGGGTTCCATTCCTTGAGGTATATCTAAAAAAAATTAATTAATTGATAGAAAATAATTTTTTAAATTGTGCTCAAACTTCTCGAAAAATTAATCTCATAATTTTCGATTATAAAAATATCTTGGCCAAAAAATAAAAATGTCATCTAAAATTAATAATATTAGAATTTAAGGATTAAAATAATATTTTATAAAATTGAAGTGTTAAATTAAAACTTTATAACTGTAACTATTAATACAGTGTTATGATATGGAAATGAAAATTAAAATGAAATTTTGTTCGGTACACTGAAATTAAAAACTTTAACAAATCCGATTAAAATTGGCTTCCATTGAAAGTCACAGTTTTCAAATTCAACCCTCCGTTTTTCATCTTTGCCCCTTCCTCTCGCTCTCGACTCAACCTTCCAGCACCTCAATACCGGCGCCGGCGCCGGCGACCTCCAGCACGTAGCGGCAGCGACCTACCTTAGTGGCGGAAATCGACGGGGACTCTTCCTCTTCCTCTTCCTCTTCCAGCGACGGCAACCTCCGATTTTATGGCTAGAGCTCGAAGGTGACTCTTCCTTTGTCCCCTGCAGTTGCCGCCAACATTTATCTCTTTATTAGCTTGTATCCCATTTTTTAAAGATTTTGGTCCACTAATATAATCATCGTGTATTATTATTTGGAATGAAGGATTTTGGTTAGATGATGAAGGTGGGGTCCGACGGCGTTAGGTGTGGAAGATTGATGGTGAAGGTGTGGGTTTGCCTTTTATTTATTATTTTTTATTTTTTGAGTATGGGGTATATTGGTATGTTTCATTCCGATGGTGGTGTTGACTGGAATATTGGCTGTGGTAATTTCTGGAATGGGTCCGCTGGTGCCTGGTGGTTTCCTATGAAGAAGGTGGATGTTGGTCTGGGTTTGCATTAGATGGGTTCGCTGATGGTAGAGGGTAGTTTTAGGAGTTTAGGTTTGTTTTTGAAGCAAGGATATTTTAGTATTTTTAACATTATAAATATATATTTTAAATAAAAATAATACTATGATTCTATAATAATAATATAATAATAATATTTTAAATCCGGTGTACACGATCCATATTAATTTCCATTTCTATCAAATGAACCCTAAGTAGTAAGTAGTCAGGAGCGAGGATGATGGAAGAAGCACAAAACATCAGGAGTAGTCTGAGCAAACCGCGCAAAGAATATCCACGCATCTAACATGCTCCCTAAACATGAAATTAAAGGTTACGTACTTGAACCTGCTAATAATCAGTCTAGCTTCTTGCAAAACAACCAGAAAAAGAAGGCTCTGCGTGTAATCTCTCTAGTAACTAAGCTTATGGCATAGGGCATAGGCCTCCATGACACGTTTTTGTTATATGGTTACCATGGCTGGAGTGTGGTGGAACTCAATTGAAGGTAATTTTTTTTAAGGTGTTTATTTTAAGAAATTGATAGTAAAATTCCCAAAAAAAAAATAGTTAGATCATTGATAAAAAAAATTTGAAAAATGGATTATAAATATTGTTACAAACAACTGCAAATAAAAATTTTAATTATAAATAAGAGTTACATTTAAAATTAAAATATTTTATATGTAGTTAAAATTTTTGAATTTATAATTATTTAAATCAATATTTAAAGTTTATTTTTTGAAAAAAAATTATTGAGAGTTGATGAGCACAAGTTGCATTGCTCTCAAATTAATTAACTTCCAGCCCAAATATGTATAGGATGCGACCTAAGTCATTATTCCCAGCCAGTTGAATCAAGATTGATTTTAGAATTAATTCTTAAATGAATAAATAATAATAAAGAGTTTTAATTCAATTATCTAAAATGCAATTAAAAACCTAAACTAGTATTTTTGTGCTTCTTGGCTTTTATGGAAAAATGAGTGAATGTGATGATAGATTTTTTTTTTGAAGTTCGGTGGAATGCAATTCTTGTCATAAATATTTAATTGGTTAAACTTTCATTCTCATTAATCTTATGTAACCCAAATAACCATTTGAACGTAACAAGCAAAGCTACCATACAATCTTAGAATTATAAAAATCATGTGACAAACTAAACTTGTTTCATTAAGCTGATAATGTGTAAATTGCCATTGGACTTGTTAGAAACAGTACCTAATTTGAAATTAAATAATTGATTAAATCCAAATTAAGTCTCCAATGATTTAGCAATGCAATTACACAATTTAATACATTGAACCAATTCTAGAACAAGGCAAGCATATGAATATAACAATGAAGACCAAAATTTCAGCAAAAAATCTAACATTCCAACAATCAAAATATAAGTTCTTAATCAAATGTCTCAAACATTTAGTGCACTAGTTACAATCCTTCAATCCAAATTAAGAAATCCAAGAAAATTGCAATTAGAATAGAGAAGAAAACTAGAATTAAAATTGCTTAGCCTCCTTGAAGAATAAGAACTCATGCACATCCACTTTGCTCCTTAGAATCCAAATGATCTAACCTTGCATCATTGCCTCCAAGAAACCTCCAATCGAACTATGCAAGTCTGCCATGTGATGGGAGTGAAGTGCTATACGATTTGATGGAAGAATAGAGATGAGGAACGAATTTATTCAAGGATTTGAATTGGACTGGATGAGGAAATGATTGCACAGTTCAGATGTTGATCAGATGAGCGACTGATGCAAGATCAAGAGAAAATTTGCGGAAGAAAGTGAGAGAATTTCAAAGGAAATGGACGAAACGGTGGATAGCAGAATCGTGAATCATAAATCGACTATGTGAGTGGAATGTGGCTTTTTTGAAAATTTGATTGTGAGTGAGGGGAAAAAAAGTAGAGAGCCCGTGCCCATCAAAGAGAGTCAGTGCAAGACAGAAGAAACGGAGATGATGATGATACAAATGTGTGTGGTGAGCATGTGAGGTTTCTCATATTTTTGGAAGAAAATATTATTATTTTCTGAAAATTTATTAAATGGTTAATGAAAAACAAAATTCTAAGGCAAAAACATAAAATAAAAGGGAAGGAATATAGGAGAGAGGAATTTTCCACTTCATCCTCTTGCTTCTTCTTTTTTTTTTTTCCATGTAGTCAACTACGCATAAAATAATAAAATCAATAAAAAAATATATTTTAGGGATTAAAAAATAATATTCAATAATATCTGAAAAACTATACAATAAATCCCAAAAACTTTCTATAAATATTTATTTACCCCTTAATTACAATTATTAACCAAGTGAACTCAAATTGTTCAAAACAAATGCTAAAAAGCCAATAAAAGTGAGGTAAAAATATGTGAATCATCAAGAGTTTAACTCTCATTAATTCTCTTTTTCTTGTATTTAAATGTTATTCTCCCTTATTTTTTAGATAATTCGTATTTAGCTTCTTTATAAAGAGTTCGTAATTTGTATACAAATTTTGTCTACTTTCCCACAATTTTTGTTCAATGGCTAACGTATGCTTTATATTTAATAGTTTATTAGGATTGATGATTTTGTTAGGGGGTAATCCATAAACACCTCTCTAAAACATTTTTTTTAAAATTCAAAAGCATGCCTTATCATGTTAAACCGCAGAGATTCAGTTTACTTAAAATTTTCAAATATAAAAATTTATTAGGATATGATAAAAAGTCCCTTTGAAACCGGAAAAAATGAGGGGTTTAAAATATCGTAGTGAGCTCAAAGCAAGTTTGTCGATTAGACTATTGATGCACCAATAGGCTTCAACAAAAAAGGACTTTCCTGCGCTTGCTTCCGCCTCAAGGAATAATAACTCGCGAGCGCTATCCCATTTCACCGCGAGCTATATGTGGTTGTATTTTTTTTATTATTTTTTTAAAACTCGTTTAATATACAATATTCACTTGTGATTAATTTAGTATTGAAAAGAAACACTCAAATAATGTCTCGTTGTTGTTCCGTACAGTGCACGTGCATTACACCAAAATCTTATGCGTGTGATTTACCAATAAGATGAAACACTTCAAAAGCTTTTAAATTTCATCCAATCCCCTATCTATACAAGAAAAATGCTACATAAACATTCAAGATCCCCACCCCAATGGGACGGCGACGTCGAGGACAAATACCTCACAACATCTCTATCAAGATCAACTAACACAAGTTCCTAGCAATTTACATTTCCACCACAAGTTTTATCTTTCCTTGATAGCTAAAGTAATCTATGAACTGCAAATGCCTCCCCTATGAGACAGAATGCCTCCTGTGTCTTGAGGAAGAACCGGATGATTTGGTATCTACAGGGACTACAGAAGTTGGGCTGTTAGAACTCCCTGAAGTCTCGGAGCTCCGATTCTCTCCCTGTCCTTTCCCCACAATCCACAACTTATCGAAGATTCTCCTTGACCGAGATGGTAGGAGTTGCATACCACTTTTACTGCTTTTGCTATTGTTCTTCCTCAATTTCCCTTTATTACATAGCTCTTCATCTTTGCTGCTCAAATGGCTCCTCTGATCTTTGAATGACTGGCAATTCTCTCCCAGTGTTTTCTCGCAATCCTCGTCACATTGATTGCTGCTGAGAGCTTGAACCTTCGTAGAAGCTCTAAGCTGCTCATGGAAGAGAACCTGAACTACAACTCGGAGTGGAAGCCGCTCGTTCTGTGCAGCATGCATTGAAGCATCCACTGTCAACTTCTTCACATCCATCAAACCACATATCTTCTTCCTTTCTGCTTTTGTTAGGCTCGGGTGCTCCTGAAAGCAAAATACTAGGTTTTATACTAGAATGCCACAGGCTAGGCAAAAAGAGGCAACTTGCATAGAAAGGAGAAATCTGTTTACTATTTGTCTTAAAATATATGATATGGCCATTGATAGTACAAAGTGCACACTACAAAGCATGGTCAGATTAGTTCACCATTAGAAAACTTTAGAGATCATATAATATTATAAAACATAGCAAAAAGACTGATGAAGCTTCTTACAGAAATCTACCTTCAAGTATATGTCAATAGCTCTGTAGAGACCATCGTGCTTTGGCCGAGCAAACTCTGGAATTGACTGTAACAATTCAATGAAACTAGACATATTGAGACTGGGATCACGTGCAATTTCTGCCAGGTAACCATCCACTAACTTGCCAATGTTCAACAAGCTTTTTCCTTTGTCCGTGCACTCATCAAGTTCCATATCATGGCTTTCCCTTTCAGAAGTCATGCATCGATTCAAAAGACATTGTACTAATTGAACATCGTATATGGTTGTCTGCGGAGACCTGGCAGGGATCAACAAGTCTTTAACAGAAGCTTCATGCAATCTGAAGCTAATGTTCTTCATCAATTCTTCACGCGATGATTCATGTGCTCCAACTAGTATGGCCACTTTCAATAGCTTCAGCAAGAAGCTACATGAACAGCCCCCACCATAGTCAAACGGCAATAAACAGACAATTGTTTCAACTAAAGTCTATTCCTCTGAGCATGAGCATCAGAAACTAATGCCTCAACAGATTCAGGTAACCATCTGACTGCATAGACCTCAAGAGCCTCTCCGATTATGACACCATCCATTCTTCCCTTTGATTTGACAGCAATCATTACTCTTTTGTAAAGATCAATGTCCAACTCGCAAACATCTTCAACCCACCAATCCTTGGGAACTGACTCAATTTTCTCTTGGCATATCATCTGGTCCTCAGTAATTTTATCATCCTCACTTAGTTTCCGGTTGTACGTGTAGGACCACGTGATGTGTTCTGGGTTCACAGAAGTTTTTGAAGCTATGGAATCTGTGCATCTTCCAATGATCTTCAGATCCTCAGACCATGGCAGAAGAGATTTAGTAGTCTGGAGAACAATGATGGAATCCTTCCAGCTACGGAAGATACTTGAGTTTAGAAACACCTCAATCTTAAAAATCAAGTTCCCCTTGTCGATATCCTCAGTCATCTCAAGGTACTCTGCTGCACAACGGGCAGCCACAACATTGTACGCATTAAGAGTAACAGTTATTCCATAGCAGAATTTTGCGCATATTTCAAAGGCTTTAGGACCTCCAGGGAAATCAGCTATGTATATTTCATCAGAATTCTCTTCATCTGCCTTCGATACCAGCTTCTGCAATTGATTACTCTTAGACAAGAGAGGAAACTTCAAAACAACGGAAATAAAAAAAATTAGAAACAGAAGTGGAAGCAAGCACCTAGCTGATTTTTCTATATCTATAATAATACATATATTATAGGAATTAAAATGCAAATCCAACACACAAATTAGAACACATCCTTGGAGTCGTTTCAAACTCAATTACTACATTTTAAATCTCTCAACGCAAAGCAAAGAACTTGAGATATTTGACTGCACAAATGTTGTGTTGTTAAATGATTGAAAACGCTCGAAAGTCATTAACTCGCAACACGCTGAAATCACCTTTCAAATGTACACACATCATTTTAAACTTGGTAAAATTATCCCGGAGTGTATTTAATAGGGCAAAGATAAGCAAGGTGCTAAAATACTATGTACCTTATGAAGGTAAAACTTCACTTCACCAACATTAATGATCACATCAGTGGCCAAATCGGTCGACACATACCTGCATGAGTTGGATGTTGTATGTTATAATTTTAATCAAGGACAAATTATTCTTTGGGAGAGGGGGAAACAAAAGGCTTAGTTGATGTAAATAATGCTCCATTTACCAATCTGTTTTGCGTTTGAACCGCTTTCAGAAATGAAGGATCCAAGGTTGAATCCAGATTGAAGTCGAAATAAACAAAAAGAAAAGAAACAAGCCCTATCTGTAGACCATCAAGTTTTAATTGACTGACCACATGCAGCTCTTGGTTGCAAGAGACTTGGCACATGCATGACATTAACAGATGACACTACAACATTTCATAGTCAAACATAATTTATAATACGCTGAAACGACAATGATTCATGTTATCCCTAAAACAATCCACCCATGAGAAACTAACCTTCTCCCGCGTTGAACGTCACTTTAATTACGCTAGGAAAAATTAGAAGCTCAAGATTGTCAGAAGATATATATATATATATATATATGCGCATATTGCAGCTAGTATTTTTTATAACTTTAAAACAGCTTTTTTTTTTTAATACATTCTCGATGATTGAAGATGACGAATACTACAGAACACTTTAGCATATCTGGATGACAAAATTCTTGGCCTTTTGACAATCTTTCCCCTTACCCCCTTCTTATCTGTCATCAGCAGTAAAATGTTAACATTGTAATTTGTGAGAAACCCACGGCGTTAGTTCTCACTCTTTTATTTTCAACATTATTTCAAATTTTCAATACTTGAAAGGTTGGGAGTTTGTAGACGAAGGCTTATAGGTCGCTTATCTTTGTTTTACAACGTGATCAGGAACAAACCTCCAAATAGCAGTGCTTTACTCCACAAAAGTTCCGATTCGAATTCATTAATGAACAATGCTACTGCAGAATACCGTTTTTTTTTTTTGGGGAGGGGGAGGGGGGAGATGAAAACAAAAACAGGACAAAAGACAAATGACTGCATGATACTTGTTTGAAAATACAAACACAGGAAGAATATTGGTTCAGAAGCTTCTAACCTGATGATAGACTTTCCGTCAGCTTGAAGAGCATTAGGCTTCGAACCCAACTTCATAAACTTCATTTTACCCTGGGATTCGGACAAAATGAAGTATGAGCCTGTGACCACAGCAAAACCTTCAGACAAAACGATAAGCTACGGCTTCGTTTCTCTAAATCCGTCCATAGGTTAAACCTCTGCTGCAATGGTTAGTAATCGATGCACTCAACCTCCCTTACCAAATCACCGAACAGAGACAGACTTGGACCGGTACCTAAACCAATGCCAGAAATGGTTTGCAAGCAAGAACGCTCTTAAAGTCTCTAATACGCTACTCAGAAGCGCAGGGAACTTTGACTGAAACAATTACACCCCATCTAACTTGGATTTCGCGTCGTTGTTCCAGCGATGACGCTGTTAGCGAGAAGAGCGTGGTTTGGTTAGATAATAACAGGGAAAGGCAAGAAAATGCGCTACTACTGGCGGTGGTTATCCACCCAAAGTTACAGCTTGCAAAAAAGCAGTTATCTAAAAAAATTGTAGAAAAGCAAGGCGCTTTGAAGAGGCGAAGCAATTCTGATTTGCTCGGAAAAGCAGGGAAAGAAAACGTCTTTTAGGGTCTTAGCAATGGAGTGTCCGGCTATAAAAGTTGTCTGCCCAAAGAGAAATATGTCGTCGGAATTCTGCCAACCTTGGGGAAAAATGAAAATGACGTCGTAAATTGCTGGGGAGAAAAATAAAAATTAATGAAATTTCATTTCAGAGCAAAAGACTGATATAGTAATAAATTCTCGCCGCCTTTGCTTTAAATCATTCTGATTCGCTCAAGATCTTCCCTTGGCGCAAATCTCAAAGGGTCTCCCGTGAGAAGCACAACATACACTGATCTGGATGCTATGAATGATCATCTTTCTAGGCCTGACACGTTTGTCTCTCTGCTTCTTAAATTTTGCAGTAGAAAAGTAAAGGGAGGGAAAGTTAGAGTCTGTGTTTATGTATGCGTAGCAAGGCGTATAATATGATAGCTCGGAGAGGTTCACCTTCATGAGCCTTTATGATTGTGGAAAGCATGCCACCGTTTGTTGATCATTTTGGTCCCTCCTCTTTGTACAAAATTTTGAAAATGTCCCCACCTTGATTTTGAAAAATTTTCTTATAAAAATCATGGATGTAACTAAATTTAAAATTTTAGAATCAAACAAATATGAAAATAAACTGTAGGTTGTGTAACTTAAATGAAAATAATTTTATTAGACAAATGACTAAAAGCTTTAAATAGAAATTAAAAAATATGATTTGTTAAATATCTAGCATACTCCTTTTGTCTTTATTTATAAAATATTTTTTATTAAATCACGAAAATTATAAAAATTAATTATTTAATTAAAAGCGTGATAACATTTTAATTTTACCCTTAATTATTATAAATAAAAAAATGAATCTATTTTTTTAAAAGGAAATTAATGAAAATACTTGTATTTTTTTCTTTTCAATTAATAAGAATATAATGATTCATTCATTAAAAAAATATTAACAATCTCTTATATTTAATGACAAAAAAGTTTTAAAAATCTCTTGTATCTAAGAATGAAGGGAGTAACTCGTTAAATTTTTTACATTATTTCTCATTTTTGTAACATTATTTGTAAATTTATTAAGATTTAATTAAATTGGAAATTATTAGATTATTATAAATTGTACTCCTTCCATTAAAAAATGTAAGGTATTTTTAACCGAATCTCACTGTCAATAAAGTAGTTATCTACTTTCTAACTAATTATATATTTTCATATTTACTCATATTAAAAATCCTACAATAAATATAAAGTCATTATCAATAGGGACACTTTTAAAAAAATTGTAATGATTACATCTTAAAAGATTAAAAATGCCTTATATTTTTTAGCATCCAACTCCTTAAAAAATACCTTATATTTTTTAACGGATAGAGTATTTACTAAAAACATTACTCTACTTGCTAATTTTTTTATATTATTTGATAAGTTCATTATGTTACTTGTTAATTGCTCCCTCTATTAAAAAATATAAAATATTTTTTAAGGGATTAGATGTTATAAAATTTAAGATGTTTTAGGTGTTTTAAATTGTAGTTGACGTTTTTTTTGGCTCGTAATAAATGAATCATTTTAAATTTATCTTAAAGTAAAATATTCTAAACAATGGTAAATATAGAAAGATTGTATTAATTTAAATACCGTTAAATACTTTATTAATAGATAAATTTATTTTAAAATATCTTATATTTTTTAATTAAAATAGTATCTAACTTGTGTTAAATCCATCATAACTTATTAAATTATTAACTTTACATATAAAATTTATTATGTTGCTCGTAGTGATGGGTTTAATATGGCATCTTAAATTATTGACTTGACTTGTAAAATTTATCATGTTACTTGGCGTAAGAGATCTAACATAACGTGTTAAAATATTAATTTATAAAATTAATTACACTTTTAACAAGTAAATATAAGATATTTGACAAGTCATGTTATGCGCTTAACAAGTCATATTATAAAGTAATTTATTTTTTTCTTCACTTTTGTTGAGAACGTATTTAGCCATTCACCTTACAAGATTGTTTTTATTTCAGTTCCAACAGCATGTACTGTATTTTAGATTTACTTGATCCTACTTTTTAATTAAGTCAAATTCATAGTCTTAACAAAAATTCTCCCTTAAATTTTCCACCAACAATTTTTTATTTTTCTAAGTAATATTGATTTTTTAATTTAATTCTAAAGCCAGTAACTTGGATCAAGTCCAACGGGACAACCCAAGTCTATTAAAAACAATCGGGGTTAGATTTGGCTATATAAGTTTTTTAAGAGGACATAATACTTTAAGCAATATCTAAATAAGCAAACTCAAATTCAGTCAAACCCGAATAAACTCGATCATTAAAATTTTTTACTTTATGTGCATGTAGAGTTAATAATTTTGGCCAAATTTAACAAACTAACCCAAACCTGACAAAAAAGACTTAGAGTTGGACCTAGTTGTGTGAGTTTTTTTAAAAATGTATGATATTTTAAACCTGATCTAAATAAATTGACCCAAATTGAGTTCGGTCTAAATAAGTTTGACCCATCCGGATTACCAACTCTATTTAATTTATTATATGAATTGGCTTAAAATTTTAAATTCAATTTATTTTTATGTGATTTTGTACTAGTAAAACAATAATTTTCAAGAAACACTGGCAATATCTTTTTCATTTTTCATTAAATGGCATTATCATTGAATTAGGATTGATCATAATAATATTTTAGTCCAAATATTTTAATTTCAAACACGACTATTAGTATTAACCATTAGCCAATGTTTTAAAGTTGCGTGAGTTAGTTAAAATTCACTTACTCCCCCTTAAAAATACAAAACATTTTTAATTGAATTATAATACTAATAAATTAATTAATTATCTTTAAATTGATAATATTTGTACATGTGTGCCCTTATTTAATAAAGTGTTTTACTTAAAGGTAAATGATTGAATGGCTTATTTTTTAAAAATATTTAAAAAATTATTAATTGCAGATTAAAAACTAAAAATATTTTATATTTTTTAATATGTAGCATCAAGAAAAATATGTTATATATACAGATAGATTATGTTTAACAAAAGAAGAGGAAATACTGTGACACAAACAATTTGTGTCTAGTGAAATTATCACGTTAATGTTTTTCCTCAGATTGTGTGTGTGTGAACGTGTTTGGCTGATAATAGAAGTTTAGACAACGGGAAAAAGAAAAGAAACAAGATAAGTTATCAAGAGAAAGAGAGAATAATAGAATGGGATCAAGGAAGAGACACGCCCATATAACATATATAATATATATATATATATATCACGTGCCATCAAACGAAGCTGACTGAGTAAAGAAGGCAGAGTAGAAGTTAAACTCAAAGGAGGTTGCTCCTTCTTCTGGTCAAGACCCTCCATTTTGCTTCTCACTGAACACGTCTTTACTAAATTTTTCTTTTAATTTTTTAATTGCAAAAGTGGATAGGCAATCGTGCGCTGAAGGCAGAATATCAACTATGGGGCACAACCAATGAAACCTGTTAACGCTGACCATCTCTTGTGAATTTAAAGAGTTGGCAAACGGGTGGATTGAGTTTTTATGGGCTCATTTTTTATACGTTCGAGTTTATAGGTTAAATTACATCAAAATCAATCATTTTTTTTAACCCTACCCTTATTCCGAAGGTTCATGTTTAGGCTCGTAGGTCTTTTTTTTTAATTTTTAAAAAATTTAAAATAAATGATAAATTTATATTTTTAAAATATAACCATATATTATAAAATTTAATTTTAATTTTAAAATTGAAAATATCTTTTTTTTTTGAGATAAAACAATAATAGGTTTAGACAGGTTGCTTGAGCGCAGTTTTTTAAGGCAGGGCTTCAAGTTTTAATTTTTTAAAAAAATGTCTATTTTCAAACACAAATCCTCATAAAAACGGGTTTACATATACGGCCTGTCTTGCTCAGACCTTATTCTTAAATGGCCGGTTTTATCTCCAGTATAGAATATAAGCAATCTTATTTCATGCTAATCATGGTCCAAAACACAAGCAACTTATTACTTGTAATTTTTTTTATTTTATCTCTTATATTTATTAACTTAAATTAATTATTTCTATAAATTTATAACATTTTTCTCACTCAATATAAATTGAAATTAAAAGTAAAAGGGAAAAATAATATATATTTTCATATGAATAAACATTTTATTGGTATGTAAATTATTGTTAAAAAATATTTTTATTTTGGACGTGAGAGAGTGCCTGTTAAAAATGTTTAAATCAATAAAAATGCTTTGTCTTTAGATCCAAGAGCATAACTGTAACATTCCAACAGAGTTAATGTTTAAAAAAAAAAAAGATTCATCCAGTATGATTGTGATGATGATCAGATTCATGAAATGAATTCATATCATATTGACCACATACATATTTATATATCCTCTTACTGATAATTCTTGAAATATCATCATTAAAATAAAATGGTCCCCTCATCTATGATTAGAGTTAGTTGATTCATACGCTCATCCCAACCCCAACAACAGTCTTATCTAACAAAAAAATTTCACATTGTCTTCATAATGAATACAGGTAGCAACTGGAGCTTGGTCTCAATTAATTAGGACCACAGGAGAAATAAATTGCGTGGTAGTATATCTCTATCCACATTTTTGCCCCCACGTCCTATTCCTTCTTTAATACCCAGCCTTTCCATTCCACAAACGTGTTCTTTGTCCACTTTCTAGATTTATCTTCACCTTCACCTTCCAATCCAACTAGTTTCCATGTCCATTCTGTTCCTTTCTCCTTCTATTTCAGTCCCTCGCACCTTCTCTCTCAAGCTGTGATGAGTTCTTTTTCCCCATTTATTTTAGTTTCCTTCTCCTTCACAAGGGTCTGCGAGGGACCATGATCCGAACAACCTGGTCCTCCACAATCATAGAGCTCTTTTTTGGGTCCAATCCACAGTCATGCTCTGAACTTAGCTTGAAAGCACATGCGTATCCAAGACATTAATCATAGTCCCTTTATAAACTGTCACTTTTTAAAAGTTACTGTACCTGTTATGGAAATTTCTTTTGTACTGACTATAATTAATCACAATATACTTTTAATTAAACAAAGCTAAATTAACAGTATAATAATTTGAATATCGAGCACTGCGCAGGTGAATGTGTAAAGGATCTAAACCCATTCCATTTTCTCACCTCCTTTCTCTTTCTCTCTGTGCGTGTACGCGCGTTCTAGTCCTTCATATACTGGTGATACTGTAATCGAGCCATTATTCGTCTGGTGAATTAAGGCATCCCATGTGCATAATTTATGAATGAGTAGTTGAATCAGCAATTACCCACTCGTTTATGAACACTGATGGCTCTGCAGGGACCGACGTGGCTGGCACGACCTGATATTAAACTGCAACACAGCTAATTCGTAACACACTCCTACATCTATAAGCATATCGCTCGTCAGTTTTAGTTTTGTTTCAACTTCAATTACTCTATATTAACCGACAAATTGGTTCCATGAAATACCTACCTAACTAGGGCTGCTTTTTCCGCTGTTTGCCTCAGCCGCAATTATAGGAAACTGATGTGTATTATATATCCACACAACATGGAGCCAAGTAGGCATGTGTGTGTGTGTATCCTTTGCGTGACCGCATGTGGGATAGAGTTAGACGTAGTAGCTCTCACAAGGGTCCACAAAATCATCTAATCATAAGAAGGGCAAAGATCATTCACGAAAGGTTTTTGCCATATATTATACGTACTACCTTAGCTAGTTGCATTATTCACTGGGGCCAAACGAGGACTATAATTCCTTTTCTCTTTTCGAGCCATCATAAGAGCAACGAGTCCAACAGAGTTGTTACATAATAGATACCATAATTGAAAAAAAGGAAGGAAGGATGAGACACGTAGTGATCAATTATGTCCAAACCCCGGTTAAAAATTTGGATAAAGCCATACATAAAGGGGGTCTCGACCTTTTGTCAAATCATCTGCACGCATGTGTGGTTCTTATGGAGAAATCATGAGTGAGAATTAGGCGTGAGAAAAAGGCCATCACAAATAAATGATGATAGGTTTTATGGAGGGTCCCGATCTGTGATAATGGTTGGGGCGTGGATGGACTTCTTAGCAAATTGGACAGCTTAGCTAGCTTGTAGGGGACCATGTGGCTCCCTTAATTTCCAACCCCTTTCTTTTCTATCTGCATCTTCAATTTGAAACAACTAACACGATTTGAGCGCGATCTAGATTCCCTCCATGTTTTGTGTTCTTTAAAAGATCATATTAGAATTAGCTATATATCTGTAAATGTTACGAGAACGATGAATACTAGCGAAGTTGCTGAATGATGATATGATATTATATATATTGTCGAGCCTTCAAGCAATATGTGTTTTTGGGTTCAAGCAAGCTGTTAATTGAAAAGAACAAGACATTCGCCGGTCAGACAACGTTATTTTTGACGAGTTACTTTTGATTGAGATGAGGACACCCCACCAGCTATTTAATACTTTATTATGTTCTGCAGTCGCGTTTCATTCATTCGTTTCACACCAGCTAAAGGCTTGATCAACTTCTAAATGAAAGCTATCGCCTCTGAAATCTACATCATCTAGAGGCTAGGCTAGAGAGTTCCAACTCTCACACGCATGACCCCTCATCCCTTTGCTGGCACTTTCCGTATTGGCGTCTAATGTAAGTAAAATCGACTTTTATAATACTGATATCAACAGTTTTCAGAATTTGATCCCTACCATGTTCAAGTTGATCGAAAATGACTCGAGAGGAAATGGCCACACGGTGATGAGGGGTTAAATTAATTTCTTCCTACTTTTTCTGATCACTCGATGTTCAGTGACTTTGATAAGATGCCAGAGGATAATGGCATAGTGGCATCGCTAAAATAGAGTGCTCTGATAAATTAATCCTTGCATCGAACAGTTTCACTTAACTTCGTCTGGCTCTGCCCCTGATAGTTTAGTTTATTGTTGGGAAAAGTATATATAATGTAATGCTTTTCTGGCATACAATGTTTTCTTGGCTCATTTCCCTCCCTCCTCCTCCCCATGCCAAAGCTTATTTTCTTTTCTCACTTAAGAAAAGTTAATTTACTGTTAAATTTGAAATAGCCCTTGTTTTGCCATGATTATACAATATTTATTAATTAAGCTCTGGAGTTGTTCGAAAGGAAAATGCCTTGGAAGCTGTTTCCTTTTCTTTGTTCTTCGACCTTTTTTGGGGGGGCGGGGATGACCTCGTTTTTGGATGAATGCTTTGTTTATTGATTTATTTATTATTATTATTATTGCCACAAGAGGGGGCTAAGCCCAAGACAGAAGTTAAATGGTAAGGGATTGAGATCCCAGGGACTTTCTGGAAACAAGGTCATGTAAATAAGATGGAACCACCACAAAGCAAAGAAGAAGAATGGAGACGTTCTTTAATGCTCATCGACTTGTTTCCTTTCCATTGTCTTCGCCAATGGCCCAAAGTCAATCTGTTCAAATTGGATCAAGAATTACTGGCATTGGGTTCCATCATAGACAGGACTTATCCAATGAGACGGGTCAAATGAGCCATCACCAGCCGTATCTTTCAAGCTTGAGTTGATAAATAGGCCCAAAATCAAAGCACAAGTCAACAAAGAGAAGCACGACTTGAACTCGAAACCAAAATCCAAAGAAAACGACGAGATTTTGAGAGCTTTGGGACATATCTGTTTCTTCCAAGTTCCAACCCATACATGCTCATTATAGGTTTATATTGTCTGTCGTAGAGGTCCCAAAAAAAAAAAAAAAACAGTTGACAATCTAATGAACACGCAGTTTTTATGTGGTTTCTTTCTGGCCAGATTGAACACGCGGATTAAAAAAAAAAAAACAGAGAAAAAAAAGAAGAAATGTGCACAATTGACAAGCCCTGCTGTTTTAACGTTTATTCCCGGGAAAGTTCCAAATCCTTTTGCCGATAATAATATAAAATTTATTTCGAGTTGTTCTTAAAGATACCATTTTTAAGAACAATTTTGACATAGTTATCTGAGCTTTTAGGATTAAGTATGGCCCTCTTATAAAAACAAATAAAGTGAGAGAACAACAAGAATAATTTAGGGAGAAAATTGAACTTGTAAAGCAAAATACAAGAGAAGAAGAAAGTTGCCTGAAAACTCAAGAGGCTTAGCATTGGCATAAACTCCACAATACCATTGGAACTAAAACAAAGGAGCATTAACCCGCTACTGAGAGAAACAAAATATTATTAAAAACAATTACTCCACAATATTACTCCACCGACGCCATTACTAAGTTTAATTATCACCACTCCACCGTTTTAATAAACAAACATTCTACCATTTCAACATTATAATATATATATATCATTTACAAAGCACGTTTTTGGATGTTGGAGCTAGCAAATCCGTTTTTAACCATCAAAAGAAATAATTTAGGGATAAAGCCACCGCTTGATATTTTTGAAATTCAATACAAACATATACGATCAATCATTAAAAGGAATGATGGGTGGTTAATGACTAATAATGCCACTATTTGAATAAAATAAAATAGCATTAAGAGTGGCCGTTGCAACCAAGTTAATCAGCATATTTAAATGTGCTAATTATAAGTTAAAGAAGGAGTAACGTTTCTGCCAAGGTAATTAAAGGAAAATAAATTTATTACTTGAATTTAAATTTGATGCGAAGTAAATGAAGGCTTTTTTGAAAAACTCTTTTCAATAAATATTTTTGAATTTTTCGTGGATTCAGCTTAGCTGATGATACTTGCTTTAGAAGCAGATATGTATCAATCCAACAAATAAATTTAATCCAGGCAAGTCACTCTGACAATATGGCTCCAAACACACATTCACTTAAATGGCCCTGTGAACAATAATTGGCATTATCTACAGTACCGGCTTCAAGCTATTTAGCCATGCCTACATTGGGCTGTGTGAAAATTTAAAAAAACTCCCTCCTCTTTCTTCTTTTAAATTTCAAAACTCCCACAATCTTTTTAAATTCTTTTTTTAAAAAATAAAATGGCAACATCGAGCTCTGCGTCTATCATCGAGGTTCGTGTACATTTCTACTCATCTCACTGACCTACCTTCATTTTATCCCTTCCAAGGAAAATGCAAGGATAAATGCTCGACTACTATCCTCTCAAACTAGATAGTATTGTGCTCAAATAAAAGCTTGAAGAAAACCCTCGACATTGCCTTGCCTTTAATCTATCGTGCAACTGCTTCATTGCTCTGATCCTCTCATTTGAATGCCTCTCCTGAGTACTTCACACTAATCTGTCCTCTTCGTTGCCTTCGATGAGTGCACAGGTCTCACCTTCCTCTTCCATCAATGAAGGCCACCGCCATGGTCACTCAACCTCGGCAGCCATGGCTGTTCCTATCCTCTCAATGCCTCCGCCTTGATATGATTTCTTACTAAACTTTCCTTTCTTTTTTATAGATACATTTCTTTACTTTTATAAGTGACCACCCTCAACACCGAAGATCTATAATAGATTGTTTATTGGTTTGGGTCCAATCAATTTGATGATATGGACAAAATAGAGAGAACCTCGATGATGAAATTTTTTACTTGGTTCTTCTTTATCAGCAATACAAGAGAGTTAGAAAAGGGGAACAAATCGGAGGAAATGAACAGACTGAAAGGAGGAGAAAAGCATGACCACCATTAGCATGTAAGATTTTGCCTCTCCTTTTCAAGTGATATGTTTTCTTTTTTAAATCGTATTTTTCGTATTTGGCTTTTTTGTTGATTTGAACTTTCTCAGCTCATTAATATTTTGTTGTTCTCTCAATGTGTGTGTTCTATGCATTTCCATTCTTTGACTTTGATTTCTTTGCTTTATCAATAGCCTCTTAATATTTTAATTGATTCCTTGCTCATGGAGAACAGACCCATGATCTTTTGTGTTATGTTTCTTCATCATTATCACCAGTCCTCTCCATGAGCTTCGCGATGCAGAAGGAATAATTGAGCTCGACAATGATGACCTAGAGCAAATGAAGATGAGATTGGTGATGCTCATTATGTTTAAAGCATTAAGTCCCTACAGAACAAAAAGCACACCAGAGATGAAGAAGAATAACAAGCAAATTAACACACACATGGAGCAAGAACACGCTTTAAGGCTTCTTATATTTTGTTTTTCTTTCTCTTTTAACTTTTTGTGCTTATTCATCAATTATTTACCTTATTTCTTCTTCCTCAGTCTTCCTTTTATTTGTGTGGTAGCTGTTATGTGGGAAAAAAAGCGGAGCTAGAGCGTGGATTTCAAATGTTGAAGAGTTAAAGATGCCTTTTCAAATGTTTAGTATTCCTATACCATGGATGGCTCCCGAGCTGCTGAATGGAAGTAACCATGAAGTCTTACAAAAGGTGAAATACTAAGTCACATCTCTTGGGATGCTTTTCTGCAATAGTACTACAAAGAGTAGGGATGCATATAATTCAACTGTTTATGGCTCTACCTCTAGATTTTGGAATTCTGTCCATCTCTCAAGTCTTAACTATTTCAAATTCATTCTTTGCTTAGTCTGGTTTTTAGAATCCTTATGGTGAAATTCCTATTTTATTCTATCTGGTCAAGCATTTTAACTTAAGTCAGCACTTTGTCCCATGTCATTTATTTGATAAAATGTCCTATTTCATTTTTATTCTTCCACCGTGGCTTCAAACAAATACTTTAAAGCTTAATAGAAGTATGAAAATCTTTTGCATATATGCTGTAAATTTTCATCTCTTTTATATGATCATCCAACAAATGATTTCTTCAGTTTATCTTCCTATTTCTATCCTTTGTCTTTGGTTTTCTTCACTTTTATGGTGCTTGTAGCTATTGATTGCTGGGAATCCTTTTGATTTGTAGGTTGATGTGTTCTCCTTTGGCATAGTATTATGGGAGACTTTGACCATCGTGAGGAGCCATATGCCAACATGCACTATGGCGTAATCATAAGTGCGATGATCTTGGTCCAATATGCATGAATCCACTGATATCTTACTATGGTGTAATCATAGGTGCGATATTTTTCAATGCTTTTCTTTACCTTATCTCTATTATGAATTGAGACAATATATTATTGCATCTTTTTGAATAGGCTTATACATTTCTATTTAAGTAACCTCTTATTAGATTTAAGGATATTATGCATTTTAATTTATCTTAAATATTGTCTCCTTGCATTCCTTAACAGTTATTAAGCCATTTTGGACTAAAACTCTGGAAGAAAATGTGGGAAATTTTTTTGTGCTGAACTGAAAATTATTTTCTTGATGTGTATGTGTGTATATAAAGGAAAAATGACCATGGCTAACTAATTAATACAACTTAAGACCTTAAAAATCAAAATAGTTTCAAGGACATAGAAATAAGGACTCTGATATTTTTTAAAATTATTTTTCACGTCACCTAAAATTTTTCCTTTGGTTTTTTTTTGGGCCAAATCTTCCCTAAATCAAGAAATGCTCCAGCAGCCATATATGCAGAAAAAAGCAAAAAAGCTCTGGATGAGACATCTTAAATGATGAACATCTATTAGAGACAGTACCATAATGTTCTATAGGATTATAAAGCTTATCTTGACATTTTTCTTTTGTTGCACAGTGGTATTTTTCTTTTGTTTCCTAAAAAACCGTTACTATGTATGTTACTTCCACTGACATATTTCTTAGGATGAAGACATGGAAGTACACCTTGAGCATTATGCATGGAAGTTTGCTTCCACTTATCATCGTTTCTTTTCTTGACTTAAGACTAGAGTAGCTACTATGTTGCTATTGCACTTTTAATACTTTTGGCCAAGAATTGTAATGTTATGGTGTATCAATTGTATTTATTTTCACATTTAATATCACTCAAAAGTTTCCTTATTTTTCCAACATCAAATTTATAGAATGATTGGATATATGCAAAGAGTAAGAAGTTAAGAGTTTAGAGTTTGTTAAATTATTTGAGTTCTCTTGCTTGAATATAATCCACTGAAAGGCTGCTCTAAAGTTATTTTGAAATAATTCATCCTATAGCCTACTTAGCCAATTGCAGGGATTTAAAGGGTAGATCATTTTAAGAGTACCCTTTTAGTTTTCTATCACCTGCTATAGGAATTTAAAATTGATGGTCTTGGTCTAGTATGCATAAATCTTAGACACAATCATGATTACACCTATAACAACTCAATGCATTGATAAAGGCTCCCCCCACCCCCACCTACAAATATGATGAGGCATGGCTATTAGTTTCAAAGTTTTTAGGTTCAAGGAGCATTCTGCAACCAAGTCTCTTGTATCTCGATCTTGCTTATTTTTAATTGATTTACAATGTTCCTTTCATCTTTTAAGCTTCAAAGGAGTTAAAGATGAAGAGAAAAAACATTTGTAGTTGATATATGGTTTCCTGCTTTTATTAAAATAGTTGAGTTTTATAAATCATAATATGGTGTTCCTTATACTGTCAGTATGTTTCATTGTGTCCATCAATTGTAGGCAGGTTTAGATTATCTTATATAAAGAGCTCAGATCTTTTTGGACTTGAATGGGAAAGATTAGCCTACTTCCATCGATCTAGACTAGTCATTATTTAGGGATTTGTTATTCAACATTAGTACAACCAAAGTAAGAATATTATCATGGAAGTATCTTTATGTGAGTTAATTATGAAGGAGATGATGAAAATGCATTATTATTGACTACATATTTATTTGTCATTCCTAAATAAAATGGTAATCTTAAGTATCCTAAACGTTAAATGCTAAAACCTTTCTATGTCAAGAAAGAAAAACATGCTCCCAAATCAATGTGGCAGGACCTTTTACAATTCCAGTATGTATTCTAAATAGCTATAACATTATGGTAAGGAAGTCAAGTTTTGGGACAATAAATTTAAAGTAAATATCCTGTTATACCATTTGCCCAATGTATCTTCACAACTTGCCATAATGCAATGTGATGACCCATTGGCTCTTCAATCCTCCACCATCAATTCACAATTTCTCATTTAATATCCTCACCTAGGCTAGGTAAGACGTGACCACCAACAGCAAAGAGCAGGCTACCATCATATGTACTCCTTTATTCATCATTTTGTTCAATCTAAAATATTAATTAAACAAATCAAATCAAAGTCTCATGTGTGCACCTTCTAGAGGATAATTTGTAAGTGGATGGAGAAAACCTAGAACATAAATTAAAAAGGAGACAAAATCATTGTTTATTGGTTCTTAACCACCTGCTTCTCATTTAAGCTTTAGAAAAGGGCGTTATTCCTTTGATTTCTAATTAGTAGTGCGCAAGATCATTATTCTATCAATCAAAGTCTTTGAGAGAGTAGTAGCTCAACGCCTCTATAAAGGTTTACAAAAAAGAAAAAATAATGATATTATCATGTTTTTAACATTGAATAAAATCATATTTTTCATTTTTTTGGGTAAAATAATGTCTTTAACATTGAATAAAATAATAGAAAGAATATATGTTACTCTAATATCTGAAAAAAGGGGCACGCTTATCTTGCAAACCTTTCCTTCTTCCACCCATAGCTCCCACGTCCTCCTTCTTGGCCTCTGCTTCTTCCATCCCCATGTTTTCCCCCTTTCCATATATTAATATTAATAATATAAAAAAGTTTCCATGCATGTGTTATTTACTAATATTTATATAATATAAACTTAATATAAAAAATATGTTAACACTATTACTATATATATATCAATGTCATAAGAGTCAGTAGATCAATTTAGAATAAATAAATAATTTAATTTTTTTTGCATAATTTATCCCTTTATAATTGCAACAATGGATAGAATAACAATTGTTTACGTTCTTAATTTATGTTTCCTTCTCTCCCTACCTTAAAGAACTACATCATTATATTGTGCATTATGCTTGTAGAATATTACGATCAAACTATCTGAAATATATATTAATAATTAGATATTTAATTTAATTTTGTTAATTTAGATGTCAAATACTACTAATATAATGCACAAAAAATCTTCCAAAACCTCCAACTTTTCAATTTTTTCCAGAACCTCCAGAATACAAATACATGGTGTTTTTTTTGTGAACGCTATTTTTGAGTTGATTATATAGTGAAGAATGGCATCTTTATTAAACATTTTTTGCTAAATGCAATAGCTTTTGTTAAGCAATATTTCATTTCCTTCTTGACCACATGCCACAGATTATGGTTATAATTTTGAAAACTATATTATCCTTACTTAAATTAATATATATATATATATATATTTATATATATATCACATAATATCACGAGAATTAGTAGATTAATTCAAAATAAGTAGATAATTTAATTTAAAAAAAGATAATTTATTTTTGCATAGTTTATCCCTTTATAATTGGGATAATGGATAGCATAACGATTGTAAGCTTCTCAATCTTTGTTTCCTTCTCTATCAAACTTAATGAACTAAATCATTTCAACTTCAAAATTTTAGGTTGACATTTCATTTCTACTATGCAAAACTACAAATGCTTGATTTTTTCTAACTTTATTTTTGAGCTACATATACAGTGAACTTTGTTAACAAATGCTTGACTTCCTTATCAAAGCATTTTTTACATATAGTAACTATTGTTAAGTTAGATGTCATTTTCTTTCTAATTAGGTGCCACACATTATGGTTATTTTTTTTTAACTACACTATCATTTATATCTTATTAAATTTTCCTATCTATGCAACGCACGGGATTGTGGCTAGTTACCTGTAATAAATATGACATTCCACGAGAATTGGATTAGTAGGGGAGTTTATGGTGTAAGTTAGGGAAGCAGTGACCTTTGGCTTAGTTACCCTTATAATATCAGGGAGCTTGAGCTAGTTTGGTCACATAAATAGGTCTTGTTATGAATTGTAGCCAATAGACTTGGTCATAAGATATATAGATGAGATAAGGGGAAAAGTTAATTGATCATGCATATTTAAATATGTTACTATGATATGTGATTGTAAATTTCCATCTTTACAATTCCTTAAATGCTTGTGCTTATATACGTTAGAAATTATGATTTTTTGATTATTGAAATATTTATCTCACCTTGTGTTTAACATTTTATAGGTAAATAAAGGTAAAGAATTGGAGGCAACAACCTTACATTTATGTATTGCTAACTTAAGGATATACTATGCATTTAAGATTATGTTAAAATTGTAATTGTTATTGATTTTGTGATTGCTTTGTTAACTGTCTAGCTAGTTTGATAGACCAAGCTCATGATACCTTGTGTTGTGGCTTATGAATTTTACTATGAGAAATTATATTTGAGATATTATTGAATATTGTGGGTCTAGCCAAAATGTTTAACCTAAGTGATAGGGGACGTGGAAGCAAAATCATGCTAATTTAGAGACAAAATCCTAAAATATAATAGAAACACAAGAATAAAAAGAAAGGAATGAAATTTATGATGAAAATAAAGAAAGAAAGGAAATAAATAATGAGATGATGATCGAAAATAAGATCCTCTAGAGAACTTGTCTTCAGGAACCTCAACATTCAAAAATACCACAAAAGTTGATCACACTCTTAATCACGTTTGTTTCTCACATGGGATGCCACCACAAAGCACTGAGGCTCACAAGACTTATAAACTCTAAAATGAATAATTTCATTCAACTTCTCTTCTATTTACAAGAGGAAGCATGCCTAATTTATATAGGCTCATAGAGAAGACTATTTTTTAAAATTAAAACCCTAATTTTTTAATACTAAAAGGAGAAATAATATAAAATAATGAGAAAATATTTAGCCATATAATTTAGGAGATGTGATCCTAAAATTATGGGATTACAAAACTTATAAATTAATGATATAATTAGTCCTAATCTTTAACTAGATTCAAAATAGAAAACTAAGACTAGTCTTTCTCCTTAAGAAGAGAGTCAAGTCAAAGGATTATTAAAATAGGAAATAATTTAGGAGATAATTAAGGGATCATCAAGGATTTAAAATTACGCTACTCTTGACTTCTTCACTAGGATTTCATGCCTTCTTACTTGCAAGAGGGCTCAACTTGTAGTCTTCCTTGCATTGGGCTAAGGTTTGCATCTCTTGGGTTTAACTCTTTATGGATTTAGATCTTAAGCACATTATACACATATAGATACTCTCCTTTAGACTTGAGAGGAGTGTTCCCATGCTCTCCAAGCTCTTGGACTTCTTGTACAAGACTAAACAAGTCTTGCTTTATGGTTTTTGTTTGGGCTCTTGTCATTGGACCTCTAATATGTTGTAAAAGGTCTTTAGGCACGTTGGATTGAAAGTATTAAACTCCTTGCTCCTTACCTTGGGCCCTTTTCATGCCACCATGCTTATGATTACCATCCTTAAACTTCATTGTCATTAACATCATCCATGCCATGGGGTCCATCACTAAGCCTTTAGACTTGTGATGTGACTAGAAAATATTGCAATTAATATTTATGTGATCTTGAGGTTGATGATATATTGAATTTGTGGAGAATGTTGTGTTGACTTTCAAGGTGAATATGCTTGCCTTATTAGTTTGGGAGTTCAACTGTGGTAGAAAGCTTAAATTATGTGAATTTATTGTTTTGCCTCTGTATTTTTGAGTACCCCTATTAACGAGTTCCCTTATAATTCTGTTCATTTAATTACTCTGATTTATTATTTTAAGCTAAATGGTTTTTTTGGAAATTGATTTTAATTGGGATCTCATTTTGAAAGAGTTTTCATTTTTTCTTATTTCTTATAACCATGGTTAAGCCTTTTTCTGCCGTGGTAATGGCTAACCTAAGGCATTAGCTTCAATCACCATAGTAGTATGATTTAATTAGCGGGTTAATTGTGTCATTACAATACATTTTTGTCTTTTGTATGGAGAGACTTTCTCA